TGACTCTGTGAAGTCTCAGCCCTTTTTTTTACCAATATCATCAGCCGTGGACTGAGTGACCACATTTATTTTGTGGCGGGTTTATTATCACTGGAAAGTAATCCACCAATCAATCAACATTGATATAACAGTTCCATCCTCACTGGTGGTCAACTTATGAACCTCTTCCCAACACTCATCCATTTTGCATGCACCCATTCCCAACTGGAGAATCGATGATCCATTCACTCAACACAGAATTTATAGTAACTTATTGTTATTTCCCCAACAAACTAAATCTAACCTCCCTTCGGATCAGCCATATTAGAACAACTGATAGCTGCTCCAATATGTTTACAAGTCAAAATCTAACTGTGGCAAGTCATCTACGGCAAGGAACCAGATATGAAATTGCAAATTGTGGAGTCCTGCAGCTCAGTGGTTAGAGCACTCGCTTTGCAAGTGAGAGACCTGAGTTCAATTCCAGGCAGAGGGCGAAACCTTGGGCAAGTTTCCTTACTCCACACAGAGCCTAATAATAATCCCTCCAATACCAAAAACAATAATAAATTGGTCATTTTCAATCTACGACTATTTGTGGGACATTGCTGTGCGCAATCGGCTGCCGCGTTCGCCCACAAATATACAGTCAATTCACTTTACAGTCTATTCTGTGAAGCGCTTTGGGACGTCCTCCCGACGTGAAAAGCGCTATATCAAATGCAAGGATTATTATTATTATATAAAGTGTATTTTGTGGGTGAAACGCAGCAGCCAATTTCACATAGCAGTATCCTACAAACAGTTGTGGATTGACTGACCAAATTGTTTTTTTTTGGAGGGTTTATTATCCCCGGAGTCCACCAATCAACTGACAACTGGGTTCCTACATACTGCTCGGTAAACAGAGGCACGTGGAAATTTACCTAAGGTTTTGTCCAGCCTGGAATCGAACCCGGGTCCTCTTGCTTGTGAGGCGAGTGCACTAACCACTGTGCTACATGTGTTTTGCTCCTTGGCAGGAGACAATTAAATGTCCCATGTTTTATATAACTGTGGCTCTCAGTAAATTATTTTTTATCGTAGGCAAATTTTCACTCTGTCTCCACGAGACAATTTAGGGTTTGCTTTTCCAGGGGTAATAATCCCTCCAAAAAAATAATAATTTAAAACTGCTGTGTGCAATTGTCTACGTGTTGCGGTCACAAAATACATAGTCACTTTACAGTATATATTCTGTGAAGTGCTCTGAGACATGATAAGGTGCTGTATCAAATCCAACCATTGTTATTATTCATGAAAATGACAATTTACAGTGATGAAGAATAACAGTCTAACAAATTACAGACAGTGTCAATAATAATAATAATAATCCTTGCATTTGATATAGCGCTTTTCACGTCGGGAGGACGTTCCCAAAGCGCTTCACAGAATAGACTGTAAAGTGAATTGACTGTATATTTGTGGGCGAACGCGGCAGCCAATTGCGCACAGCAATGTCCCACAAACAGTCGTAGATTGAAAATGACCAATTTATTATTTACTTATTTTTTTTTGGAGGGATTATTATTAGGCTCTGTGTGGATTTACAATTTACAAGGATGCAAGATAACAAAGTGTGAATCTACAGATAGGTTACTTAGACACTGAATAACAACTTACAAAGTTACAACATATCGAAAATGAACAGTCAGCAGACAAATTACAATATACAGTCGAACCCATTTCCAGCAACCGCTCAGGTGACTGAACCAAAGTGACCTCAGAAGTAAGGCTTTGTTGGTTCGTCGACCATGATCGACATTTTTAAAGACAATTTTCATGGGCCGCAAATACCTGCGGGTTCATGTGTAAATTTCTGCTCGCCTCCTCGCGTCGTGGTGTACCGACGCTCCTCACCAATGAGGCGGGAAGCTGTGGCCATCACAGGGAGAAAATGCAATCAATCCACTTTACAGTATATCCTGTGAATCTTTGAGACGTGCCAATGACTGCTCAGTGAGGCAAGGTAACTATGCTAGGAGACTAGTGAGAGTCTACATGCAGGCCCTCGGAGACGGAGTAAACATTTACCTACAGTAGATAGAAAATAATTTACTGAGAGCCATAGTTATCCCACCTAGATGCAAAGTAATAATTTAGTGAGAGATAAGAGTACTAATCTATCTGGATTCGGGCAGGGCAAAACCTTAGGCAGATTCTTTACTCGACACACCTCTGTTTACCTAAAGCAGTAAGTAGGCACCTGGCTGCTAGTTGACGGGTGGATCGCTTTCCGAGAGTAATAATACCTAAAAAAAATTATGATTTGCTCACTCAATCCACGACTGTTTGTGGCACACTGCACTGGCTGCTGCATTTCATCCCAAAAATATACTGTAAGGTGGAATGACTGTATATGCAAAATGCACAGTCCGTCCATATTACATCTTGTGAAGCGCCCTGAGACGTCTCGAAGACGTAATGAAGCGCTCTATCAAATGCATGGATAACGTATTATTAATAATTATATCAGTAATTATTACTTTGTATCAATGTAATTGAAAGGATTGTGTTAATGTGTGTATAAATTGTAGTAGATTATTACTCCCATTATTTATATAACTTGTAGCAGATTGTTACTTTGTATCTGTATAATTTGTCGTAGTGTGTTACTGTGTATCTATATAATTGATGGCAGTTTCTTACTTTGTATCTATAAATTGTAGTAGATGGTTACTTTGTATCTGTATAAAGTGACGTACATTGTTACTTTGTATCTGTATAAAAAGTGTAGTAGTTGGTTACTGTGTATCTGTATACACTGCACTGTTACTGTGTATCTGTATACACTGTTACTGTGTATCTGTATACACTGTTACTGTGTATCTGTATACACTGGTACTGTGTATCGGTATACACTGTATACAGTATACACTGTAAGGTGGAATGACACCTTACAGTGCAGTACACTGCACTATCACTGTGTATCTGTATACACTGCACTATCACTGTGCATCTGTATCGGTATACACTGTTACTGTGTATCGGTATACACTGCACTGTTACTGTGTATCTGTATACACTGTTACTGTGTATCTGTATACACTGTTACTGTGTATCTGTATACACTGTTACTGTGTATCTGTATACACTGTTACTGTGTATCTGTATACACTGTCACTGTGTATCTGTATACACTGTCACTGTGTATCTGTATACACTGCACTATCACTGTGTATCTGTATACACTGCACTATCACTGTGTATCTGTATACACTGCACTATCACTGTGTATCTGTATACACTGCACTATCACTGTGTATCTGTATACACTGCACTATCACTGTGTATCTGTATACACTGCACTATCACTGTGTATCTGTATACACTGCACTATCACTGTGTATCTGTATACACTGCACTATCACTGTGTATCTGTTTCCACTGCACTGTTACTGTGTATCTGTTTACACTGCACTGTTACTGTGTATCTGTATACACTGCACTATCACTGTGTATCTGTATACACTGTTACTGCGTATCTGTATACACTGTTACTGCGTATCTGTATACACTGTTACTGCGTATCTGTATACACTGCACTGTTACTGCGTATCCGTATACACTGCACTATCACTGCGTATCCGTATACACTGCACTATCACTGTGTATCCGTATACACTGCACTGTTACTGTGTATCTGTATAAACTGCACTATCACTGTGTATCTGTATACACTGCACTGTCACTGTGTATCTGTATACACTGTTACTGTGTATCTGTATACACTGCACTATCACTGTGTATCTGTATACACTGCACTATCACTGTGTATCTGTATACACTGCACTATCACTGTGTATCTGTATACACTGCACTATCACTGTGTATCTGTATACACTGCACTGTTACTGTGTATCTGTATACACTGCACTATCACTGTGTATCTGTTTCCACTGTTACTGCGTATCTGTATACACTGCACTGTCACTGTGTATCCGTATACACTGCACTGTTACTGTGTATCCGTATACACTGCACTGTTACTGTGTATCTGTATACACTGCACTGTCACTGTGTATCTGTATACACTGCACTGTTACTGTGTATCTGTATACACTGCACTATCACTGTGTATCTGTATACACTGCACTATCACTGTGTATCTGTATACACTGCACTATCACTGTGTATCTGTATACACTGCACTGTTACTGTGTATCTGTATACACTGCACTATCACTGTGTATCTGTTTCCACTGTTACTGCGTATCTGTATACACTGCACTGTCACTGTGTATCCGTATACACTGCACTGTTACTGTGTATCTGTATAAACTGCACTATCACTGTGTATCCGTATACACTGCACTGTTACTGTGTATCTGTATAAACTGCACTATCACTGTGTATCTGTATACACTGCACTGTCACTGTGTATCTGTATATACTGCACTATCACTGTGTATCTGTATACACTGCACTATCACTGTGTATCTGTATACACTGCACTATCACTGTGTATCTATACACTGCACTGTTACTGTGTATCTGTATACACTGCACTATCACTGTGTATCTGTTTCCACTGTTACTGCGTATCTGTATACACTGCACTGTTACTGCGTATCCGTATACACTGCACTGTCACTGCGTATCCGTATACACTGCACTGTCACTGTGTATCCATATACACTGCACTGTTACTGTGTATCTGTATAAACTGCACTATCACTGTGTATCTGTTTCCACTGCACTGTTACTGTGTATCTGTATAAACTGCACTATCACTGTGTATCTGTTTCCACTGCACTGTTACTGCGTATCTGTATACACTGCACTGTTACTGTGTATCCGTATACACTGCACTGTTACTGTGTATCTGCAATGCTTTGCAGCAGATTGTTCCTTTGTATCTGTTTCAGGACTAAATCGATGCTCTGTTGCAATGAGGGAAGATTGTTACATGATATCCTGTTTGCGAAGTTCCGGCACACACCCCCCCCACCGCCCCCACTTTGCTCCGCCAACCAGAGCCCAGAGGCCGCTGAGGGTGGGACACAGATCAGAGGCTACAAAAGGGTCTGGAGTGGGTCTGTCCCCAGAGAGATCCATCACCACACACACACAGAGAGAGAGCGAGAGAGAGCGAGAGAGAGAGAAAGAGAAAAAGAAAGGGGGAAACGCAGATCTAAAGAGGAAAAGGTGTCACCGGAGCCAGGAAAACGGTGAGGATCTCTCTTCCCCCTTCCCGTCCCACCACCCCTTCCCTTCCCGTCCCTTCCCGTCCCCAATGCTCACATGTGCTGTTGCTTTCGGGAGGGTTTAAGCCACACGGAAATCCCGGCGCCATAAAACAGCCCCAACTCCATCCCCTCCTGAACCCATTCCCATTTTGCCCAGGCTCAGCCCGGCTCGCTCGCTCGCTCGCTCACCCGGAGCAGGGAATCCTCCCGCTCAGCTCCCCGGTAACCGCCCCCCGCAGAGCCAAAGCCCGAAAGGATCGGGTGGTCCTCGCTGGACAAGCAGCGGGAAAGCTTCCCAGACTGCGCTCTCGATGGCAAGCTACGCAGGGTGAAGCTGGTTAGGCTCCGGCAGTTACCCCCAACGCACACTCTGGGGTTCACCCCCACCTGCCCCCCCCCCCCCCCCCCCGAGCCTTGCCTCTCGCCAACCCGCGCCTAATACTTTCCGGAATTCGGTAAGCAGTATGCGTCCCTCCACTCCAACCTTCTTATCTCTGGGATTTCCATATGTAGCCGGGGCGCGTTGAATTCTCAGTTTGGTTTGGATACTGCTAAGCCCGGCGATGGGTTCACATGTGTGTCAGACATCGACAATTTGTATTTATAAAGCGCCCTTCGCGCTGGGCAGAGTCTGAGCACCTAACCGTAGCGCAGCCTGACTCTGAGCAGGGGGGAGGGAGGAGGTGACCGTAAGCATGGCGGAAGAGGAAGGCCTCCATAATCTAAAAGGGGAAGGAGGCGGAAAGGAGGAGAGATTGAGGGAGTTTCAGGGGGCAGTTGCTGCCGATGGTGGAGCGCAAGTTACGTGGAACAGACAATCGATTGACCAAAAAATATATACGATATGCAAACCCATAGCCCCCTGCAATGTACAACTCTCTGTGTACAAACCTCAGCCCTGGATTCCACTCGCCTGTAACTCATTCCTTGGATAGTACTATATATAAAACCTTGGGACAGTTGCTGTACATATAGACGCAAGTCAATGGGTTTGTATGTATAGCGACTGCCCCAGTTGAGTTGCAGGCTGGAATATGATTGAGGAGTGGGGGAGGGCAATGCAATAACTTGCAAGGAAGCTAAGACGAGGCACAGAGTCCCGTAGCGTATTGGTTAGGTTGCTTGCCTCGCACGCTAAGCGAGAGGACCCGGGTTCGATTCCCAGGCAGGGCCAACCTTAGGCAAATTGTCTTACGCCACATGTTTTACCCAGCAGTAAGTAGGAACCCGGTTGTTAGTCAATTGGAGAATTGCTTTCCGAGGGTAATGATCCCTTCCCCGCCCCCACCCCGCAACAAAAAAATACTGATCACTCAATCCATGAGCCAAATGCAATTGGCTGCTGTGTTTCGCCCATGAAATACACAGTCGATCCACTTTGCAGCATATCTTGTGAAATGCTTTGAGACGTCTCAACAATGTGACCAGGACCTCTATCAAATGCAAGAATTGTTATTGTAGTGGATTGGATTAGATACCGGTTTGTAGCGCTCTCCCAGAACACTTGCTGTATACACAAACTGTCAGGAATGCAAAGTATTCCATTCGACTAACCCTGAACTGCATTCCAGCCAGTAACTCGTTCTTGGGATTTGTTGTTCTATGTACAACCTATCCACCCACACCCTCCCACCTCATTTTGTCCCCAGACTGTAAAATGGCTCTGCCTGCTGTGGTTGTGAGTCCTTCAGTGTTCTCTCTCTGCTCTTTTCTTAATCTCAGAAAAAAAATACAATAAATCCATGCTATAAAGGAAGCTCGAGTGTGAGGCTGCTGGAGTTTAGAGATAGATGTGTTTGTGTCTGCGTGCCAGCCTGGCTCAGTGGTAGCGCTCTCGCCTCTGTGAGTCAGACGGCTGTGTGTTCAAGCCCCATGTTAGGAATTGGAATCACGTAGTTTAAGCTGACGCTCCAGTTGGGGGTTTTGCATTGTCATAGGTGCCGTCTTTTAGATGAGGTGTTAAATCGAGGTCCCACCTGCCCGTTCAGGGGAGGTGTGTGTATGTGGGGGAGGTGTGTGTGTATGTGCATGTGGGGGAGGTGTGTGTGTATGTGCATGTGGGGGAGGTGTGTGTGTGCATAGGGGGGAGGTATACGTGAGTGTGTTTGGAGCTTTGGGACGTCTTCCCGACGTGAAAGGCGCGCTATAAATGTAATTTTGTTGTGGTGGTGGTTGTTGTTGTGGGGTGGGGGGGGAGGGGGTGCGGGGATGTGTTTGTGTGTGTGGAGAAGGGAGAGATGCATTTGCGTGTGTGGATGTGAGTATCTAAGCCAAGAGATCATTAACGTAAGTTATCAGCCATTGCAATAAAACTTTTCCTCGTCTATAGATGACTCAGCACAAAGACGCTGCCAGCTTGCTCCCTGACGGTGACTTCTGTCTGGTGCAATAATAATAATCCTTGCATTTGATACCGCGCCTTATCATGTCTTCGAGATATCTCAAAGCTCTTCACAGAATATACTGTTAAGTGGATTGACTGTACATTTTGTGGGTGAAACGCGGCAGCCAATTGCGCACAGCAGCGTCCCCACAAACAGTTGTGGATTAAGGGATTATTACCCCCGGTAAGCGATCCGCTAATCGACTAACAACTGGGTTCCTGCTTACTCGGTAAACAGAGGCGTGTGGAGTAAGGAAACTTGCCTAAGGTTTCACCCTGCCAGGGAATTGAACCCGGGTCCTCCAGCTTGTGAGGCGCCCGTGCTGACCGCTACACTACTAGGCTACTACGCGAGGCTGCCACATTCGCCTACAAATGCACAGTCACTCTGTTTCACAGTAAATCTTGTGAAGTGCTTTGAGCCGTTTCGAAGACGTGATAAGGCCCTGTACCAAATGCAAGGATTATTAATATTAGCTCAGTAACTCGTGTTCTTATCTCTAGGAAACCATGCTGTCGTCTTCTCCGACTATCATGCTGCCTGAGGTCGAGATCAAGAAAACCTGCCCCCATATCAGCCCCAAGTGTAACCAACGCAAAGAGACAGCCACCCAGAATAATGCAAACCAGCCCGCAGATCGGGTGTGGATAAGACCCGACCTGGCCAGCAAGTGCACCTGGCAACTGGGAGCGCCTGTGTCTCAGTCCCCACACTCCCATCAACCCACGTGAGTAACAAGTTACAGCTTCGGAGTGGGGCGGGAGTGGCGGGTAGCGTGTTCAAGCACTATGAGGTGCTACCCTGCGTGTAAGTGCAAGTTGTTGTTGTTTACGGTTTTCTGGTCTCTCGCAGGGCCACGCTGCCAAACATCCTCCCCAGTATTCTCAACAAGATCGGGAACACCCCCATGGTGCGTCTGAACAAGATCGGGAAAGCACACGGACTGAAGTGCGAGCTGTGTAAGTGATGCCGCATCCAGGAGAGGTTTATCCTTTGCAAATAATCTTTTTCCTGCCTTCCTTCCTCCCTGACCCTGGGTCTTTAGAAATGGAGTGTCTAGCACTAGCAATAAAGCGACTCTTTTCCCCCCCCCACCTAAACACACACACACTTGGAATCACAAAGCTTACACTCCAATGCAGCGCTGGGGATGGGGGTGTTGCATTGTCCGAGGTGTTGTTCTTCGGATGAGACATCAAACTGAGGTCCCGTCTACCTGTTCAGCTGGACGTTAAAGATCCCGCTGCACTATTCGAAACGAAAAGGAGTTTCACTCTCCCGATATCCTGGTCAACGATGTGGGACAATGTTTGTGGGACATTACTGCGTGCAATTATGCTGCCACGTTTCCCTACAAAACACACAGTCACTCCATTTCACAAGATATTCTGTGAAACGACGCTTTGAGACGTCTCAACAACGTGATAAGGCGCGATATGAAATGCAAGGATTATTATTAATATCATTCAGCATCTCTGTCACATTGTGATGCGACTGCCGTCACTGGCACAAATATATCCGCTGCGCTCGTCCACTGGCCTCTCACGGTCCTTCAGAGAAATGTAACCCGTTGTGTGAAGCGGGTGTGAGGTGTTTTGCTGCGAGCAGGTGCGTGGATCAGATGATAAGTTGACTTGTTTAGAAGGCCCTGAGTTTAAAAGGTTGAGGGGTGATCTAATTGAGGAGTTTAAAAATGATCAGGGATTTGACAGGGTAGATGCAGATAAACGATCTCCTCTGGTGGGGGAAATCCAGAGCAAGGGAGGGCGTCATCCTAAAATTAGAGCTAAGCTGTTTAGGAATGAAGTCGGGAAGCGCTTAAGGCTGAGGTGGATATATGTTTTTAGGTCAGGGTATCAAGGGATATGGAGCAAAGGTGGGTAATTGGAGTTGAAGGACAGATCAGCCATGATCTAGTAGGATAATAATATAATAATCCTCGCATTTAATATAGCACTTTACAAGTCTTCTCGACATCTCAAAGCGCTTCACAGAATAGACTGTAAAGCGAATTGACCGTATATTTATGGGTGAAAGGCGGCAGCCAATTAATTGTGCACAGCAGTGTCCCACAAACAGTCGTGGATTGAAAATGACCAATTTATTATTGTTTTGTTTTTGGAGGGATTATTATTAGACGTGTGGAGTAAGGAAACTTGCCCAAGGTTTCGCCCGGCCTGGAATTGAACCCAGGTGTTTCGCTTGCAAGTCGAGCGCTCTAACTACTGAGCTACAGGACTCCAGAATGGCCAGCACACTCGAGGGGCTGAATGTTCCTATGTATTCCCACCTCTCGTTCACACCTCTTCTCTCTGTTTCAGTGGCGAAATGTGAGTTTTTTAACGCCGGGGGCAGTGTGAAGGACAGGATTGCCTTGCGGATGGTGGAAGATGCTGAGAAATCAGGAATTCTGCGCCCGGGAGACACCATCATCGAACCCACGTCGGGGAACACAGGTCAGAGCCAACCATCCTTCCCCAACTGACCATTACTGCCCCCCCACTCTCACCCCAACTCCCACCCTCCCTCCCATCCCAAACGGGTTCCATCCACACTTTACCCTGGTCTTTGTTCCCTAATGGTATCAATAGGATCGCAAGGAGGGGGGAGGGGTGAGAAAGGAACTGGCGTATACTTTCGGGTTAAGTATGGTTCCTGTCCTGTAGGTATCGGCCTGGCTCTGGCGTCTGCTGTGAAAGGTTATCGCTGCATCATCGTTCTGCCTGAGAAGATGAGCAATGAGAAGGTATGTTCTAGCCACCAACCTCCAGCCACTCCAAGCGCCCCAACCATCCCACACACCTCCCCCTGACCCCTCCCGCATCTGGTACACTGACCTCTGATCTTCCTGCTCCCCTGGGGTGTTGACCCCTTCCCTCTCTTCAGTGCATATACCCCTTGCCCCCTCCCACCCCACTGCCCCTTGTGCTGACACTGCTGGGTGGGTGGGGGGGGGAATTGTGTGCTGACAGTAACAGTGGGGAGGCTGTTGCTGACAATAATGAAGTGTTGATTCTTTCGAACACGGATTAAGATCGTTTTCGCTTAGGAAATAACATGATGGGATACAGTAATTAGGTAGTTCGGGACATGTGTGCACGCGACTGCCAGGAAAGTGGAAGGCAAACTAGATGGACCTTGGTCTTTTTTCGTCTAGCATTTCTTATATTCTTAATGGGGGGGGTGGGGGGTGGCGGTGGGCAGGGCTGAGAGGGAGGCTGTATGTTGACAGTAAAGGTATGGGGGAGGCTGTTTCCTGACAGTAAAGGGATGGTGGGAGGCAGGGAGTTGTATGCTGACCGTAACATTGTCTCCCTGATCAGGTGGACGTGCTGAAGGCATTGGGGGCTGAGATTGTCCGCACCCCGACGAGCGCCAGCTTCGACTCCCCCGAGTCTCATGTGGGAGTGGCCTGGAAATTGAAGAACGAAATCCCTAACTCGCACATCCTGGATCAGGTCAGTCTGGAGGGAGGGGTCTCTAGGGTGCGGGGTCTCCGGGGGAGGGGGGGGAGGGGTGTCTGGGGAAAGAGGTCTCTGGGGAAGGCGTCTCTTGGGGAAGAGGTCTCTGGGAGCCCGGGCTGGGCTAAAATTTGTGGACGTGGCTAGTGTGTGTGTGTGTGTGTGTGGTGTGTGTGTGTGTCTGACGCTGGCAGTCACACACGTTATCCATGTGTTGCTTGGCACTGCTAGTCACACGTGTTGTTGTGCCACAGTACCGGAATCCAGGGAACCCCATCGCTCACTACGACACGACTGCAGAGGAGATCATCGAGCAGTGTGAAGGTAAACGTGGCCCGGGGGGCGGAGGGGGTGGTGGGGTGGGTGGGGCGAGAGGGGGTGCTGCACAACTCATTCCCTGATCTCAGCCAGGCTCCGGCTGGCCCCAGCGCTCCACCGGGCGGGTCTTTGGAGGGACCGCATGGCCTTGCTCCCCACCCACCTGTGTGACCTGCTAACTAATTTTGAACAAGTGGCAGATGGCCCAGATTTCAAATACTTTCAATCGACAGAAACCAAAAAGATATTTCAGCAGTGTTCCTTTTCAGTATAGCGCCTGGGGAAGTCCTCCTCGGGTGGAGCGGGTGGGGGGGGGGGGATGATTCTCAGGGGCGATGACCAGGCCGGGCTCTGTCTCGGTTTAGTGCTGACAGTGTGTACAAAGGAGTATAAGGGGACCTTAAGTAACCACAGCTCCGTGGAATGACTGGCTGATTTGCCTCGTCGGTAAAGTTTTTGAAACTGAAACATATTACGAGTCTGGAGATCTATTCCCAGCAGCGCAAAATGTTGTACAAGTTTCCTTACTCCACGTGCCCCTGTTTGCTGAGCAGTAAGTAAGAACCTGGTTGTTAGACGATTGGCCGATCGCTTTTCCAGGGATGATGATGATGATAAGAATACCAAACAAACAAAAAAATGAATAATAATTTGGTCATGACTGTTTGTGGGACACTGCTGTGCGCAATTGGCTGCTGAGTTTCGCCCACAAATATACAGTCAATTCACTCTACAATATATTATATATGCCTCCTTCCAAGGCATATCTCAAGACCCTCCTCCTCGTCCGCCCTTTTGGACACCCTCCTATCCCCAACCTTCCTGCCCTCCATCCCTCCTGAGACCAATCCCCAGCTCGGGTCCAAATCCTGACTGTCCAGCGCCTTGGGGACCTTCCTCCTCGGGTGGGATGGGGGGGATTCTCAGGGGGGTTGACCATGGCGGGCTCTGTCTCAGTTTAGTGCTGACAGTGTGACCGCATTTTGTTCTCAGGTAAAATTGACATGATCGTTGTTGGCGCCGGGACCGGGGGAACCATCACCGGCATCGCCAGGAAAATGAAGGAGAAATGTCCAAACTGCAAGGTGCGTGTCTGGCTGTCTCGTGCTGTGCACAATTGGCTGCCGCGTTTCACCCTCAAAAGATCCAGTCAATTCACTTTACAGTATATTCTGCAAAGTGCATTGAGAAGCATTGATAAGTCTTGATAAGACGTAGGGTGGTATATACTGACCTAGCTGGACAAGCAGCAGGAAAGCTTGCCGGAGAATGCTTTAAATGGCAAGCGATGTGGTTTTAGCTGGTTAGACTCCAGCAGTTACCCCCAACGCACACTCTGGGGTCCCCCAAGCCTTGGCTCCTGCCAACCTGCGCCTTATACTCTCCGGAATTAGGTAAGCGGGATGTGTCCCTCCGGGGAGAGAGAGAGTGCGCATTCCATTCCAACAGTCTATCTCTGGGATTTCCATGTGTAGGTGGGATGCAGGGAATTCTCAGTCTGGTTCGGATACTCTTAAGCAGACACAGGCACAGCGGGTGTGCGTCAGACACCCGACTGAACAAAACGACCCCCAAAAAGCACCTGTTTCTCTGGGCTCTTGCCTCCCTGTGTCTCTGTGAGTTGACACCAGTCTTGAGGTGTGACTGTCCTCTCCTCAGGTTGTGGGTGTGGACCCAGAGGGTTCGATCCTGGCTTATCCTAAACACTTGAATGAGACAGAAGTGACCAGATACGAGGTGGAAGGGATCGGATACGACTTCATCCCCACAGTGCTCGATCGCTCGGTGAGTCCGTCCGAGGGAGTCCTCTGGTGTAGTGTTACAGGCAAAACTTGTAAGCAGGAACCTACGGGGGAGAGGATTGTGTGTTCGACCCCTTCCTCCCCAGCTCTTGTGCCAGGGATGGTGTAGGGGAGAATCCATAGGGAGGGGAAAGGGAAGATGAGGGAAGGATGGAGAGGTGGAGGGAAGGAGGGATTGAGTCTTTGAAGAGGGAGGGAGTGTGTGAATCGTGGCAGAGGGAGGGAGGGAAGGAGGAAATGTACGAATCATGACAGAGCGGGGAGGGAGCGAGCGAGGGAAGGGGGGAGGGAGGGAGGGAGTGAATGAATGAGTGAGTGAGGGCAGTGGTGGTAGCTGATGGTGTCTCTGGCGGCAGGTGGTGGACCAATGGTACAAGACGAAGGACCAGGACTCGTTCGTTGTGGCTCGTCAACTGATCCGGGATGAGGGCCTGCTGTGCGGTGAGTGACCCGGAGTGGAGTGGAGTGGAGGGGTGGGGGTGGTGGGGATGTGAGGATCGTGGGGGTGGGAGCATGAGGACCGTGGTGGGGAGGCCCGAGGATGATGGGGATGATCTAATAAAATAGCCTACTCTGGTTCCTATATGTGTGTGTGTGTATATATATATATATACACACACACATATGTGTGGGGGGGTGCGGTGGTGTATGAAGGGGGCTATATGGAGGTACACTAACCAGGCTGTGTGTTACAGGAGGCAGTGTGGGCTGGGCGGGGTGTGTTTGTTGGTGGGGAAGGGGGTGTATAGGGATATATTGACCAGGCTGTGCGTCACAGGAGGGAGCTCAGGCAGTGCGATGTGGACGGCTCTGAAGGCGGCCAAGGAGCTGGGGGAGGGGCAGCGCTGTGTGGTCATTTTGCCCGACTCCATCCGCAACTACATGTGAGTCTCAGCTCTGCACACTGGGCCTGTGTGTGTGTGTGGTATATACCTATCGATGTGTGGATGTTTCGTGTGTCCTTGTATGTGGGGGTAGTGTGTGTGTGGTGTCTGTCTGTGTGTGACTGTCTATGTGTGTGTTTTGGCGCGGTGTGGGGCGCTAAACATGTGTGTGTTGATGTGTGTGTGGTGGGGGTGTGTGTATGCGTATGGGGGGGTGGTGTATGTGTGTGTGGGGAGGTATATGTGTGTGTGGTGGGGGTTATGTGTATGTGGTTGTGTCAATGTGTGTCTGGAGAGGTATATGTGTGTGTGGTGGGGGGTATATGTGTATGGTTGTGTTAATGTGTGTGGGTGGGGGTGTGTGTAGGGTTGGGTGTGTGTGTGTATGAGTGAAGCCCTGGGCTGTGGCTCTGACATGTTACTTTCTCCAGGTCCAAGTTCCTGAGTGACAAATGGATGGTACAGAAGGGATTCAGCTCTCAGCCCGAACCTGTCTCCAAACCATGGTGAGTGCAGCCAAATTGCCCCCCATGTGACACCTGGTGGTGGTGAGGGGTGGGGGAGGACAGCACTGCAAGGCAGTGGCAGAGGGAGTGGGTTCCTGGCGAGAGGCGGGGTGGGGGGGTGGTGCAGCAGTCTTGTCCGGGGACGATGTGGGGGAGCCCATGGTGTTAACAGTGAGCTTGGCTCAGTTGGTAGCGCTCTCGCCTCTTGAGTCAAGCCCCATTGAGCTCACAGTCCAGGCTGACGTTCCAGTCCAGTGCCGGGGGGTGGGAAAGAAAGAGCACCACATTGTCAGAGACGCCGCTCTTCGGATGAGACGTTAAACCGAGACTCCGTCTGTGCCTGTTCAGGCAGATGTTAAAGATCCGGCTGCGCTTTTCCGAAAGAGAAGGGAGTTTTTCTCGCTCTCGGGTGTCCTGGCCAACGATACCTCAAATAAAATTGGTCACTCGCTCTATAGCTGTTTGTGGGACGTCGCTGTGCGCAAATTGTCACTGCACTTTTACAGTAAGATCCTGTGAAGCACTTTGAGACGTCCTGATGATGGGATGATGAATGCACTGAATGCATCAGATAATAATAATAATAATCCTTGCATTTGATACAGCGCTTTATCATGTCGTCGAGACGTCTCAAAGCGCTTTACAGAATATAAGGTGAAGTCCTATGGCTGTGTATGTTGTGGGCAAAATGTGGCAGCCAGCGTGCACACAGCATTGCCCCACAAACAGCCATGGAGTGAGCGACCACAGTTAAATTTGAGAAGGAGAGTCAGCTCAGACTATGTGATTCTAAATCCCGATGTGGGGCTTGAATCCACATCTACAGCAAATTACATCTGTGTAGCGCCTTTCATGTCGGGAGGACATCCCAAGGTGCAGGAGAGTTAGGATTATGTTTGGGATCAGGAAGGGTGGAGGGCAGGGAGGGAAAGGGGTAGGAGGATGACTGGAGATGCGGTTGAAGAGGAGAGTCTTGAGATGGGCCTTGAAGGAGGTAAGGGAGTGGGCGAGATAAAGGCACTGTGGGATAGAGCTCCAACGGGTGGGGACAGACCGCCACAACTTTCTGACGCTAGGACGAGAGTGCCAGGCTGACACATTAATGTAACATTTGACAAATTGACAAATTCTGTGGTTGACGTGTGTTTCTGACCCTCTTATCTCCCAGGTGGTGGGACATGAAGGTGAGCGACTTGAAGCTGTCAAAACCTCTGACATTGCTGCCCTCGGTCTCCTGCCAGAAAGCCATCGAGACCCTCAACGTGAAAGGCTTTGACCAGGCTCCAGTGCTCAGCTCTGAAGGGTAAGTTAATGAAATGCTGCTCGCCGTTGTTTTACAGGGTCTAAGCTGATGCTCCAGTGCAGAGATGGGGTGGCGGGGTGGGGGGAGAGTGTGTGTGTTGCATGTTCGAAGGTGACATCCTGCAGACGAAATGTTAAATCGAGATCCCATCTGCCTGTTGAGGTGGACGTTAAAGATCTTATGGCACATTGGATTGAATCACCACTGGAACAAAAGACAGGATGAGGCCATTCAGCCCCTCAAGCCTGTTCCGCCATTCTTTGAGAACAAGGCTGATCTGTACCTCAACTCCTCGATGCCCAGACCTAACAAACATCTATCCACCTCACTCAGACTTGAAAATTTAAATTGAAATGTGGTACCAATGGCTGTCCTGGACGGAACGGAGAGAGACGGGAGAGCAGCCAGATCTGGAGGGGAGAACTGGGTGGGGGAGTGATGACAGTGAACCCTCCCCACGCCCCCGGACCCATCCAACACTCCCCACGTTTGGTGATGCTGGACTTAGCGGCTGGAGCCAGTAGGTGTCCAGGGAGTGAGTCGGTCTCCCCCTGCCTCCCACAAGCTGATGGCACATGACTGCTCAGCGCTCAGTGCGGGTTTGCCCCCTCCTCCCCACTCCCTCACTCTCCCCTCCCCCACCCTGTCCCCCGCCTCCCACAAGCCGCTTTCCTGTTGCATTTTACCCTTTGTGTCCTATTGCAGCCGCTTCTCCTGAACCAACAGCCGCTGGTCTGTCCCTGACCTCTGGTTAGAGTTAAGGTAACCCGCTTTGTTGCGAGCGAAAATGTGAACTTGACAAACTGTGTTCCATATAGATTGAAAAAAGGAGCGGGAGTGGCGGGGGGGGAGTCGTTGGTGTGTTGGGAAGACTGTCTGTGTCCCACCTGAGACCGTGGATAGATAGGTCTCTACTTAGAGGTGTTCTTTGAGTCCTTACGGCAATCGTCTGGGCTATAAATAATACAGACATTGATCTCAATGGCAAATGGAACGCACGTGCTCGCCCTGGAGGGAAGCATCCTGCTTACCTATGTGGTCTTAGCTGGTTAGACTCCAGCAGTTACCCCAATGCACACTCTAGGGTCTCCCAAGTCTTGGCTCTTGCCAACCTGTGCGTAATAGTTTCTGGAATTAGGTGAGCAGGATGCGTCCCTCCAGGGAGAGAGAGAGAGAGCGCATTCCATTCCAACAATCTATCTCTGGGATTTCCAGGTGTAGGTCGGATGCAGGGAATTCTCAGTTTGGTTTGGATACTCTTAAGCACGGTGATGGGTTTCCGCATGGGTCAGACACCCCGGCTGACCGAAAAAATGCTACAACATGTGTGTCATATAACGTGTCAGAGTGTTTTACAGTGGCGGAGGGGACGCTAAGTGGGGTGGGGGAGAGGAGATGGGGGAGTGGGGAGGGGAAAGGAGATGAAGAGGTGGGTCTCTTAACTGTGCTGATTGCAAACTAGCGTCAACCTGCCAATGTGGGAAACTGCATCTTACTTGAAGCTCGGCTCAGAGCTGCTAATTCCCACACTCGCAGCTGAACACAATAGCTCCAGCTTTTCAGGCTGAGTAACTTCATTCCTGGACTCCTGTGCGTGCGTGTGTTAGGGGGGAAGAATTGTGCGGGGTAAGTCTGCGTAGGTGGGGAGGGGTGAGTATTTGTTGAATATTTTATTCCTTTGGCGGATGAGCTCAGAACTTTTGTGGTACTTTTTATTTTTGTGGAGACACAGAGGAGCATCTCTGGGTAATGGCTGGATGCTAGCGATGTCCGCCTTGTTTGCTGATGTTGTAGCCTCCGGGCTCTGGCTCTCCTGCCATGTTTGAGTGACACAGGCTCCACTGTGGAAGATTGCGGTGTTGATCCCAGACACAGAGGCAAACCTTGGCCTTATTGGAAGCTCTAATCGCTTCCTAGGGATCGCTCTGAGTGTCCTGCTTGGACTGGGTCACTGATACCAACATGAAGCCTTGGCGGGAGAGGGTGGGTTAGACTTTGCCTACAGTGTCAGGGGCGGACAGGAGGTGCTGATGTCGTCCTGACTGACTGAGGCCTTGATGGAGGGAATACGTTCCCTGATACATCATCCCATGTGTGAGAGAGAGCCTGTGTGTGTGTGTGAGAGAGAAAGAGGGAGAGCTTGTATGTGTGTGTGTGTGAGAGACAGCGCCTGTATGTGAGTGTGAAAAACAGCACCTGTGTGTGGTGGGTGTGAGAGAGACAGCGCCTGTGTGTGTGTGTGAACATCTCAATCCCATTCTCTTCAAGTCGCTGTGGCTGACTGACCGATTTGGGCTGGGGAAGTGGGGGAAGCTCCACGGAGCGTTGAGGGTCAGTAGGATCCTTTATTCTCTCACTATCTGCAGGTAGATCACCTGCTGTCAGAGCCGTCGCTTCTGGAGAAGCCACCCAGACTCTGCCAACGTCGCAGGTAATGGCCGGCCTCACGTCACACGGTAACAGCCTCTCACACCCCGGGACCTTCGAGTTCCCCCATCCGCCCCCGCCGCGCTGGTCGAACAACCCACTAGTGACTATCCTCCTTGGGGGGCAGGAGGTAAGCAGGGTCTCTTCGGAGCTGAACTGGCTCCAAAGTGACATGTCTGGCAACAGAATGTCGGAATCGAGCCTCAGCCCTCTGTGATGGTTTCATAGAATCATAGAATATTACAGCACAGAAGGAGGCCATTCAGCCCATCGTTCCCTCTTTGGAAGAGCTACCAATTTGTCCCACTCTCCCACTCTTTCCCCATACCCCTGCAAATTTTGGGATACTCTTAAGCACGATGATGGGTTTCCGCATGTGTCATAGACACCCGGCTGACCACTCCCCGCCCCCCCACACACCCCCCAAAAAAATGCCTGGCCGTCATTCACTATTCCCCCCCCCCCCACCCCGGTCACTCCTAATTGGATGGTTTGTGATCGTGGGGTGGTGGGGTGGGAGGGGGTGGTGTCATTGTGTCATTGTCTGTCGGCCGCCAAACTTAACTACTCGTTTATTTCCAGCTGTTGAGGGGCATTGAGGTGAAAACTGGGGCAGAAGAGGTTGGATTGTTGTAATGCACAGCGGGGCTCCTGTCCGCTTCACCGCATTGTCGGTCACTGAGTTGTTTTGAATGACGTATTTACCACTTGCTTCCCAGCGGCTCGGTTCAGCAAAGCAGCGTCCAGTAACACACAGCCGGTGGACAGTCTGGAGAGTCCCAGGTTACATCCTCCGCTCGCCTCAGCTCTGTGCTGAGTCAGCGATCTCGGTACGATTAGGGAGAGTGTTACAGAGAGTCTAACCAGAGATGGGGAGAGTTACTAACATGGGTACTGACCCGAGTTTTTCCTCACAGAACAGATTCCGTCCTTGCTGTCTGGCTCCAGGGACCACCCGTGTGTTGACGTTCAGTTTTAACCTCTCTCTCTCCCTCTCTCTCGCTCTGCGTGAAGCTCTGACTGACGGCCGACCCTCTGTTTTACAGGCAGATCCTTGGGGTTGTGCTTCTGAAGGACGTGCTCAGCGCTGTTCTAGCTGAAAAGGTGAAACTTTCCGACCCTGTCAGCAAACTCCTGAGTAAACAGTTCAAACAGGTAAGAGACCAGCTGGGTGTACGTACGTACATTATTGGAGGGAATCCCTGTAGGGTCGTGGTTGGCTCGCTCGCCTCGCAAGCGAGGGGACCTGGGTTTGATCCCCGGCCGGGGTGAAACCTTATAGACAAGTTTTCTTACTCCACACGCCTCTGTTTATCTGGCGGTAAGTAGGAACTCAGTTGTTAGTTGATTGGCGGATCGCTTTCCGGGGTAATAGGATCGTGTAGAATTATAGACATTTATAGCACAGAAGGAGGCCCAAACAGCCCATCGAGTCTGCACCAGCTCTCGGAGCAAGCTGTCCACGCAACCACACTGCCCTGCTCTATCCCTTAAAAACATAACAAATGTTAAACAAATAAAAGACTAAGGTCCGTCCTCTTGTTTGCCTTCCACCTTCCTGGCGGTCGCATGTACATATGTACCTGTGTACTATATCCCATAATGTTATTACCCAACTGCTTCCCTCTTGAAACCCTTTTTGCAACCTCTACAGAGCCCCTCCCGCTCCTGCTGGGATAATACTAATAATAATAGTAATAATTCCTCCACGGCTGTACGTGCAATCGGTTGCTGCATTTCGCCCACAAAATACACAGTCACTCCACTTTACAAAATATTCTTTGAAGCGTTTTGAGACGTCTCGAAGGTGCGATAAGGCACTATTGTCAAATGCAAGCATTATTATTGAATGCACTGATTTGTATTATAAAGTGTGAATGTGTTTGAGATCTGTGACTGACTGTGCTACGTGATTGTTCAGGTGAAGCTGAGCGATAACCTGGGAACCCTCTCCCACATCCTGGACACCCACAGTTTTGCTCTGGTGACTCATGAGGAGACCAAAGGTAAGAGAAGGCAGTGAGTTCTGCCTTCCCCTTTCACACTGATGCCACGGCCCTCTGCCTCGTACTCAGTGTCATTGCCTGATCTCAGGGAGGAGCTCGGTTGGGCCATGTTAAGATGTTGGGCCTTTTCTGGTGCCTGGCGAGGATGGGCGGAGATTGTGCCTGTTGTCATGTCCCAGGCTGGTGGCGAGGCTGGCAATCAGAACATTAATCCAGAGCAGGGGGGCATCATCTTAAAATTAGAGCCAGGCCATTTAGGAGTGAAATCATTGAAGCACTTTTTCACACAAAGGGTAGTCGAAATCTGGATCTCTCTCCACAAAAGGCAGTGAATGCTGGATCCATTCACATTTTCAAGACTGAGGTGGATAGATTTTTGTTAGCTCAGGGTATCAAGGGATATGGAGCTGAAATGGCTCCAAGGTGACGTGTTTGGCGATAGAATGTTGAAATCGAGTCCACCCTCTGCGATGGTCTCAAGTTCGGTTCCTGAGCCGGGCGGGTCCGCAGTATTCCAGGGCACTGCTGATGACAGACCAGCCCAACCTGGCTCGTCGGCAGGACTTGGAGGAACAGACCAGTCACTGGGGGCAGGGAATCGTCTCATTCAGCTCCTGTTAACCCTGCAAGCCAAAACCCTAACGGGGAGGGAGGTCCTAGCTGGACAAGCAGCAGGAAAGCTTGCCAGAGACGCGGGATATGAGCCAAGGAAGGCAATTGGGAGTTGAGGTACAGATCAGCCATGATCTAATAGAATGGTGGAACAGGCTCGAAGGACTCAATAGCCTACTCATCTTCCGGTTTCAACCACAAATCCTTCAGTCACTCACTTGCTCTCGTCTCCTTGACCCTAGTCTCTGTCTCACGCCCTCTTCTCCTCTTTCTCCGGCCTCCACAGGTGATAAGAAGCTGACAAAAGTCTCCGCCATCACCACCACCATCGACCTGCTCAACTTCCTGACCCTAAAGAAGAAGCCAATCAACGGGGAGGAGAATTGATCATTGGGGGATGGGGAGGGAGGAAGGGAGATGGGCTGGTGGGTGAGGAAGAGATTGAAACATTAGTGATCCCATTGCTGTGGTAGCTGGGAGTTGGGTGAGTCTCAGGACTCTCCTTTGGGCTGATGGGAGTCCCGAATGTACTTTGGCCCGAATGCCTTCGGTTGGTTTCTGCTGCCTTGGGTCTGACTCCTGATCTGGTGATGGGTCAGTACTGTAGTAAAGTACATTATCTAGCTGGTGGTCTCAGTATGCAGCAGTAAGTAGGTAGTTAATCAGTTGATGGATCACTTTCTGGGGGGGTGGGGTGGTACTAAACCCCCTCCAAAGACAAAACAAAACTCACTGTATGAATTTGTGGGATATTGCTGTGCGCAAATTTGACCACAATATACACTGTCACTCTACTTCATAGTATGTCCTGTGAAGCGTAGTGAGACGTCTCAACGATTTGATAAGGTGGTGTATCAAACACTTTTTTTATTATTATTAACTCAGGACAAGCTCCACACTGTCCCTGACCGACAGCTCGTAGTATGCTACCTCTCTTCCTGGGCTGTTGTAGATTCTATGCTCAGGTGCCTGTTTTTGAGCCAGTGCGTTTATGTCTGTGCGACACTCTGTGAAAGTACTACTGTATCGTTCTTTCCTCTGATGAATGAAACTGGAGCTCGACACCATCGCTCGGGAGAGAAACATTAGAAACCTCCTCTTTAATCTTCGTTAATTCTCTGCCTTATGAACTGTAATCAAATGGTAAAACGAGTTTCATTAAAGGAAATACTTACACTTTCCTGTCCTATGTGTTTGCCTTCCAATTTCTGGTCAAGTTTTTTTTCCTCTCGCAAAGGCTAGTGGAAATCTATGCAGTTTTAGCTGGTTAGACTTCAGCAGTTACCCCAATGCACACTGTGGGGTCCCCAATCCTTGGCTCTTACCAACCTACATCATCCTGCCGTGAAATGCGCCAAATAAATGTAACATTTCTACCTGATGTGAAAGGCTCTTATCTCAAATGCAAGGAATATTCTTGACCTCGACATCTCTTTTTAAAAAACATAACATGTTCCAAGTTTATTTCAAAAGTTAAAAAGGTTTATTTTTTTTAATATAGTTTTGTTGCAAAAGAACAGAATAAATGCAATGTCACAGCTGATATGCAAAACATCACGGCTGCACTGAAGCAAACGGACAGAGCGTTACACACAGCGTCTGCCTTTACCTAATACATGCAAGGAAACTTCCAACACTGAATTCTTACTGTTAATAAATTTTTCCAAATCTTTTTATCGTAAATACAATCACCTCCATACAAAAATACAATTTTACCCATAGGAAATGTCCCCGGCTTGAGCACGTCAACAACTAGCAGAGGGAAGTCGGAGCACGTCAGAGACGGAAGAGTGTGTAAGTGTGTGTGGGGAGGAGAGCGAGAGAGAGAAGAAAACCATGATTGTGTGTGGAGCGAGGGAGTGAATGTGTGTAAGTGGGTGCATGTATGTGTGGATGGGGTGGGTGGAGAGGCGTTCTTATGACTGTGTGGAGAGAGAGGGAGTCGTGTGAGTGTGGGAGAGGGGTGGGTGGTAGTGAATGTGTGTGTGTGAGTGCTGGGGGACATGCATTGCATGTGTGGATGGGGCAATATGTGTGTTTGTAGGAGGGGCGTTGTGGAGGGTGTGTGTGTTTAGGGGGGGGGTGGGAAGAGTATGTATGAGAGGAGAGTGTATGGGGAGTACGGGCAGCTGCCTTGTGTTAGAAGTGATGAGCAAGTAGTTAAGTTGCCCTCAAATGAATGGGGAACAGAGTGGGTCAGTGAGGAGCAGGCTGGGCTTGCAAATTTACCACTAAAGATGCATCAATTTCCATTTGTCCCCAGCAATAAAAATTCTCCCCTCCCAACAAATCAAGCCTGGTTTGGAGCAGGAGTCAGACACATGTGCTGACTGGAAAGGACTCAACAGCGTGAAAACTTCAGGGAAGGAAATATGCGCGTGTGACACACCAGTTGGAAAACCTGACCGTTTCCTATTTCATGCACATCATTGAAGAATAAATGCAATGTCTTTCCAATAAAAATAAAGGCAATGCTCTCACGCACTTCCTACTGAGCTGCGTTACCCATGGGGAAGCTCGCAGGGAGTTCCTTGTACCTGCCATCCACCTAGTGAGGGCTCAAACCCGAGCTTGTCGGATGTCAAACGACCAATGAGTAACTATCCTCGTTGGGAGGGGGTAGTGGGAGGTAGCGGGGTCTCCTTGGACTGGACTGGACTGGCTCCAAGGTGACATGTTTAGCAACGGATTATCAGAATTAAGCCAGTCCTCTGTGAGGGTCTCTAGTCCGGTTTCTGAGCCAGGTGGATTCGCAGTATTCCAGGGCACTGTTGAGGACAGCGCGGCCCAGCCTGGCTCATCAGCAGGACCTGGAAGGGCAGACCAGTCACTGGGGGCAGGGAATCCTCCCGCAAGGGACACATTTTAGTTCAGTACATTGACCTTCTATTGTCACAAGCCAGTCCAGCCTCCACTTTCTCTTCACTCCAGACACTTGTGAGAGCCAAAGCCTGTCTGTCTCCTTACTCAATGTTGTGTTTATTCAGCCCCAGAAGCTCGAATTTCTTAAAGTCTGCAAAAATCATTGCAAATCATTCATTTGAAAATGAGATTGCTCAGGATTGTGGAAAAGTAAATAAAAAAAATGCACAGTAGTTTTCTTTTCGAAGCCAGTATTTATAAGAACCGGGAGGGGAAAGTTTCGGAATTTACGGTGAAATTTAAGAATTTCCCACACTTTATAATAACTATCCTTGTATTTGATATAGTGTCTCATCACGTCATTGAGACGTCTCCAAGCGCTTTACAAAATACACCATAAAGTGGATTGACCGTGTATTTTGTGGGAGAAATGCGGCAGCCAATTGCATACAGGAACTTCTGACAACCAGTTGCAGATTGAGTTACCAAATTTTTTTTTTGGGGGGGGCATTATTACCACCGGAAAGCGATCCACAAATCGACTGACAACCAGGTTCCTACTTACTGCTAAGTAACCCGGTTGTTAGTGTGGAGTAAGGAAACTTGCCAAAGGTTTCACTCCACCTGGGAATCGAACCTGAGTCCTCTCGCTTGTCACGCAAGTGCGCTAACCACTAGACTACATCAGGATTGATCTGGCGGGGCTAAGAAGGCATAGATTTTCCGTAAGTAAAGTGTCCTCGATTCTCCAGCACCGTTCGAGATTTAACAAACTGGGAGTACCAACTTGGGGGAGAGTGGGGGGTGGGGGGGGAGGTAGGACACTCCTGCTATACACAGGATTTAGGGCTCAGGGTACAGCTTACTGTACAACCAACTGTCAAGGGTGGGTTTCTCACTGTACTGACTCGAACTCTATAAATTATAAATACAAGCTTTCACCTCTGCAAAGTTAACAGAGCTCCAAGACATCAGACTGCCCTGCATAAATGCAAATTGTTGTTCTACAACATGTCATTTAACGCAGAGTTGGGTAAATAAGGTGGCTGTCTGTCACACAGCACTCCATGTGGTTATCAGGCCCAGGACAAAACAGTACTTTCAATACCGTCTGTTACATGTCCTCCATTATAACAGATGGTAGACGTTAGCCTTAAACAAAGTGGATTCACAGCTTTTAACCCAACGTAAAAAATTTAACCCAATTAACCCATGGGAAGATTTACCAGAATGATACCAGAGATGAGGAACCTCAATTATGTGGAGAGACTCGAGAGGTTGGGATTAATCGGCTTAGAGCAGGGAAGGTTGAGGGAGGATTTAATAGGTGTTCACCATTATGAGGGGTTTTGATAAAGTAAATAGTGAGTAGCTGTTTTCCTCTGGCGGGTGGGTCAGTAACCAGAGGACACAGATTTAAGATAATTGGCAAAAGAACCAGAGGGGTAACCTGGACAATTTTTTCACCCAGAGCTGTTACGGTCTGGAATGCACTGCCTGAAAGTTTGGTGGAAGCAGATTTAATAGTAGCTTTCAAAAGGAAATTGGATAGATACTTAAAAAGAATTTGCAGGGCTATGGGGTGAGAGTGGAGGGTAGGACTAGTGGATAGCTCTTTCAAAAATCCGGCACGGGCACAATGGGCCGTATGGCCTCCTTCTGTGCTGGAAGATACTAAAATTTTGCGCGTTGATGTTCATGAGGAAACAGCTTAACAATATGTGTATTATGTCTCTCGGGGAAACACTATCAAGTACAAAAGTTCATAAAGTTGTACACTACTTCGAAACACTGGCTCTAATTATACCTTGCGGAGCAATCGCTTTCTATACATCAGTCTTTTACATAGTTACTGTTCTTAGAAGCAGATCTTGGGTGTCCACTGCTGATCACACGTGACCTAGTCACTGACATGTAATCCCCTAATTGTGTCTCTCGCTACTGTCCTGTTTACCATTTCTCTCCCATGGAGTGGTTTCCTGACTCAACGTAGCCACAGACTGAATACAATCCATTATACAAACAACACCTCACAACATGAACACGGGATGTGGCAGTGTGGAGTGGGGACAGGTGTTAACATTCTCAGGAATTTCTACTGCCACTTAACAATTAATTCCCCAACCTATGCCGTCAGGGAAAATACACAGAGACTGAGCCATGGAAACGCCACCTTAGTAAGTGACAGACATTCTCTGTAACATCTGATCACCTTGTTAATAACAGACTGAACCACATACTGCAGGAAAATGACTTGAGTTTCATTTCAACAACAACCCTCACGCACTTGACAGAACGCTTTATAGAGGCGGAGCCTGATGCCAAGATAGAGGGAGGGGGAGATGACCGAAAGAATGGTCGAAGAGGAAGGTCTTCAGGCATGACCTGAAGATGGGGAAGGAGGAGGCAAGGCGGAGGGATTGAGTGAGAGTTCCAGAGTTTCTGGGGAGTAGTGGCTGAAACTGTGGCCACCTATGGTGGAACGGAGGGGACGAGGAACAAGAGGGAGTTTTGATCTAATAATTCACTCACTGAAGGGAGTTTTAACTGCCTCGCAGGATCTTTGTTCTGGTATCAGACTCCACCCCTGGGCTGCTCAGCATGCATTAAGGGTGTGGATAAAGCACCAGGAAACGGGCGAGGAGCTCCCGCTGAGACTCCAATGAAAGCGTGGCCAAGAATGGGCGTTTAGAATGAGAGAGGTACAGCTACACATGATCGGGTATTGGAAATACAGAAGCGTCCCCAGAAAGCGTGAACACAGGAATTATTGCACGTAGCTGACTGGGGCCAGCACTGGACAAATTGTCTCTGCCTCGTGCTCTGACAATGATTACAATGAGTACACAGACGTAACGCTTCCCACACTGCCGATCAGCGGTCAGTTACCAAATTACCCACAAAACTAGCTCCGCACTCAACATTATGGGCCATGTGTAATGTGTAAACTGTGCATAAAGAGGGAATTACAGGAGCCCTTCATAATAATAAGAAAAATAATCCTGGCATTTGGTATAGCGTGCTATCACTTCATTGAGACGTCTCAAAGCGCTTCATATATTGTAAAGTGTATTTTGTGGGCGAAACATGGCAGCCGATTACGCACATCACCATCCCACAGACAGTCGTGGATTAAGTGACTAAATTTTGGGGGGAGGGATTGTTACCCCAGGAAAGCAATTGGTCGATTGACTAACAACCAACTTACTACATACTACTGGATAAACAGAGGCTTATGGAGTAAGGAAACTTGCCTGAATTTTCACCCCACCCGGGAATCAAAACCGGGTCCTCTTGCTTGTAAGGAGAATACGCTTATCGCTATGCTACAGGACTCCACCGCGTGACATAAATGATTGATGAAAAGAATGGTCAGAACCCGGCTCCTGTGATTCTCTCTGTACACGTGCTTCAACCAACTCTCACACCACAGGTCAATTACACAAGGTTTACACATGGCACAAAGTACATCTGTGCTTTACACACAGTGTGAAGTAAGACCCGCTTGATTCCAGTTTCAAACCTCCCCCGACTTCCCTTCGTGCAGTAACATCTGACCGGTGAGGCTGGAGGAAACCGTGCTCAGGTGTGAAATATCTCAGATTGTCGGGCATCAGCAAGCGGGCATCGGAGGAATACTGTACACCGGTTTGGGAGAGAGTTAATTCCCAGTCGTACAGGTAGGTGGTTAAACCCAGGGTGTACAGGGGGTTGGTTGGGAGGCGCAAAACACAGGCAAATGGGGGGGCATTGGCTAGAAGGCATTGCTTCGACAATAAATCATGTGACCCTCCCTCCTCCCCCACTGGCACACCTCACACTGACCTGTTTGGGTTGTTGAGCTTCAGTAATGGAGATTTCATTGAGTTTTCATCTCCACGTTTTAGTCCTTCAAATTTTAACCCCCCTCCCCTTCCTCTCCCGAGTATCTCGTGTGTGTCTGTGCTCTTAGCTAAGTATAGCACGCATTGGTACAGACATTTATACGTTCCACTGTTTAATAAAAATTAACCTGCATGTTCGGTGGAAAATATTTTGACAATAAAATTCTTCGATAAAAACAAAATGAAACAAAAAAAAAGCAGGATTTCATCCGATAATTTCCTTCCTTCCGGTGAACAAAGAGGTTCCGCGATCGAGGGCAAATCATGGCCAGTTATTTCTGAGTGGAGACACACAACCCTAGCTCCTTAGAAAAAAGCAGAACGTTTCGGCATTTGTCTGTACAACGATGTGGAGGTGAAACCATCTTCCCCTGGTGCTCACGGTAAAACTCACAGTTCAAACTGGGAATCTTTTCGATCTGCACTTTTCAGGACGAGGTGATAGGAGTGCGCTCGCTCGCTCTGCTACCTATGTATAAAATAGCTTCCACGGAAAATGCACCTGTCTCAGTGCACAAAAAACCCCAATAAAAACTCTGCCAGTTCTGGTTTACAACCCCTCCTGTTCTCTTACTGCAGTGAGTCGCTGTTGTCTAAGGCCAGGGTGCTCATGTTTGTGGTAGAGATGTCGCTGTCATCCTCCTCCACGCTGTTCCCCGAATCCTCTCCGCTCTGACCCGCCATCATGACCTGCTGGACGGCGAGGGTGGCTCCATCAGACGACAGGGACTGCAAGCTGTCCACGTTTACATTGACAGGACTCGACATGGAAACCATTCCACCTGCAAAGGCACCAAGGCAATTTCACCAGGCATTTCGTGTACTCCATCATCATGTTTCAAATAGAGGTCAGGAGTCGGCGGTAACAGTCAGCAGCTTCAGCCCTGCTCTGTGCTGAGATCCTCATCATTGCCTGTTACTGAGTTACTGATCCCATTCCCAGTCTGTCACTAGTTATTGATCCCATTCCCAGTCTATGACTAGCTACTGATCCCATTCCCAGTCTGTGAATAGTTACTGATCTCATTCCCAGTACGTGACTAGTTACTGATCCCAAAATCAGTTCTGTGCCGAGTTACTGATTACTGATCCCATCTCAGTGTGTGAGCCGAGTATTTACCAATGCTTTCCCCCTTCCCTCCACCACAATTTAGGGAAGGAACAGTTAGCCAGAGTTCCTCACTGTTGATCACTGCCCAGACTACTCTGCTATAAATGCACACCAATTGTTGGGATTAAGGAGCTATATAAAATGTCCCGATTATTATCAAATGTAAGTACCTGTGCAGGAGCCAGTGATTGGTGTATACCATTAATGTGTCTGCTGGAGCATGGCTATGTTCAGGGAGGCTGTAATTCAGTAACTCACCATCTGTGACAGAGATGTTGGTGACGTGATGCTGGGCCACGCCCGCAGCGATGGAGTCCGGCCAGAATCTCTGAACTGGTCGGTTCTGGGTCTTGATCTTCTTGGCCTTTGGGGCAGTGTCAGGATTACTGGCGTCCAGCATCGGCTGCAAGATCCGCCTTCGGGCATTGATGAACCTATAGGTCAAACACAGTGGCTATCAGCAACATCATGGAGTCCTGCAGTGTAGTGATTAGAGCACTTGCCTTGCAAGCGAGAGGACCTGGGCTCGATTCCCTGGTGGGGCAAAACCTTAGGCAAGTTTCCTTACTCCACACATCTCTGTTTACCTAGGAGTAAGTAGGAACCCAGTTGTTTGTCGATTGACGGACTGCTTTCTGGTGTAATAATTGCTCAAAAAAAATAACTTGGGTACAATCCACCACTGTTTGTAATTGCTTGCTGTGTTTTACCCACAAAATATAGTCAATTCACTTTACAATATAGTCTGTCAAGCCCTTTGAGAGATTTCAACAACGTGATAAGGGGATGTATCAAATGCAAGGATTATTATTAACTCAGGCACTGCTAGAGCCAGGCTGGACACTGCCCTCCTTCCTGCTCTGAACCCCCAGGTGGACAGTGAATACCTCCTTCTTCAAGACTGACTACGATAAAATTGATCATTCACTCCATTTGTGGAACGTTGCTATGGGCAAACTGGCTCCATGTTCACCTACAAAATACACAGTGTCCTCCTTACTTGAAAGGCACTAATGTTAAATTGCAAGGATTATTTTCATTATCACGTTTGTCAATTGGGTGGATTTCTGACATGCCAAAACCCATCACATGACTTAAAAACATCCAGACAAACATTCCTTAGCCTAACCACCTACACATGGAAATTTTCTTGTTTCTGGAATGCAAGACACACCCTCTCCCTGGAAGGATGTTCCCTGCTTACCTAGTTCTAGAGAGCATTAGTATTATCAACTAACAGACCAATGTCGCTTACCAGTTATTGACCTGTAGGAGGGTGAGATTGGTTTGACCTGCGATTTGCCTCTTCTCATCCTCCGTGGGATACGGGTGCTGGAAGCAGTAAAGGGTGAGATGGTTAGTTACGTGCCTAGGAATAAGTTCCTACTTACTCCTGACCAGAATCTAGCGTTAGCACCTGGAGTCAGAAGATATCTGTCCATCTTGGCCAGCTGCCCAGCACCCAACTGCTCACAGGTCTCCCAGCAGCCCTCCCTCAACAACAACTTGCATTTATACAGCGCCCTCCTCACTTAACAATGGCGGAGCCTGATGCTGAGCCAGGGGGAGGGAGGAGGTGACTGTAGGCACATTCAAAGAGGAAGGCCTTGAGGTGCGACTTGAATAACAAGTGGAGTCCTGTAGCTCAGTGGTTAGAGCACTCGCTTTGCAAGCGAGAGACCTGAGTTCAATCCCAGGCAGGTCAGGGCGAAACCTTGGGCAAGTTTCCTTACTCCACACAGAGCCTAATAATAATCCCTCCAAAACAAAACAATAATAAATTGGTCATTTTCAATCTATGACTGTTTGTGGTACATGGCTGTGCGCAATTGGCTGCCGTGTTTGCCCACAAATATACAGTCAATTCACTTTACAGTGTGTTCTGTGAAGCGCTTTGGGATGTCCTCCCGACGTGAAAAGCGCTATATCAAATGCAAGGATTATAATATGGGGAAGGAAAGGGCAAGGCGGAGGCATAGACTGAGAGCGTTCCAGAGTTTTGGGGTCTCACCAACTGCCGTGCACCCACCCACTCATCAGCCCACCGACCCATCCACCGTCCCGCGAACTGCCAGCTGACAACTCACAACTGCTCACTAGCTACATGTGCCCATGTCCTAGATGTGATCTTGCTTGAATTGTAGCTCAGCCCAGTGTGAACTAACTTTGTTGTCAACTACAGGGTCAGTACACAGTCATTAAGCAATGGAGTTTCATTCAGCTGAGCTCTGGGCTTTGTGTCTAATTAGACACGGAGCCCAGGACCTTCATCATATGAACAGACTGATGTATTAAACGTGACACTATCAACTAAAATGAACATTAGTTCAAGACAAGTAATGTACACAGAGTTTGGCAAAAGGAGTGGAGGAAACACATACAATGGAGACTCCTGATGAATGAGCTGTCAGGGCACAGGGCAGCATGTGACACTCACCGCAATGTGCTGGAAGAGCCAGGACCTCATGATGTTGGTAGCTTGCTTTGGCAAGACTCCACGCTTGTTTTTCGGAGAGTTCTCCCCGTCTTGATGCAAGACATTCAGATCTTGGTTTAGCTGCAGCTGGAGCTGAAAATCATTCAAAAACATTGTTTGTGGAGTCCTGTAGCAAATTAAATTTGCCTCATTACATTATCAAAAATGTCTCAGCAAATTATTGTACACAGCAGCAGCAAATTTACACATGGCAGTATCTCACAAACAGCTATAAAGTCAATGAATGACCAATTTTATTTAAGGGATTGTTGGCCAAGACACTGAGTAAAACTCCCTTCTCTTTTTGAACAGTGTCGTGGGATCTTTTACTGAACGAGCATGTGAGAACCTTGGCTTAATGTCTCGCCTGAAGGACGGCACCTCCCGACAAGGTAGCACTCCACTGGAGCGTCAGCCTGAACTATGAACTCAAAGTCCTGAAATTGGACTCAAACTCACAATCTGTCTGACTTAAGAGGTGAGACTGCTATCAATTGAACCAGCCTGATAGAAATGCCTTTGACTGACGAATATTATCGCCTTGTTGCCACACAACTGGTGTTTATCACCCAGAATGTGGTTCCTGTACATAGAACATTGCAGGAAGCTTGTGTTGTGAAACTCCTAGAGGATCCAGGTTCAGCCTTGCAAGCCATCCTTTCGTGAGCCACAACACTGCAGGAAACGTCACCACACAGTTCATGGGAGTCACACTTTAACAAGGTCAATTATTAAAGACATTAATAATTCAATGTATTGTATAAGGACAACACAAGGCTCTAACAATCCCAAAATGTTCTGCTCAGAGCAGGTCGCACTTCAGCTTCTCCCTGCCGGCATTGGGATGGAGATAAACTCACCTGTGCATTTTGGATGCGTATCGTACCATGTGTCTGTGTCACAACCTGGCCTTGGGGAGTTACTACGGTCACCGGCTGGTAAACCGCTCCACCTGCTGAATGAAACCAGTCACAAATTCACAGAATGTTGCACATCCTTCCTAAACAATAGCACTGGAGGTAAATTTACAGTTTGGATTTAATAATAATAATAATCGTTGCATTTCATATTGCGTCATTGAGATGTCTCCAAGCGCTTTGCAGAATCTACTGTAAAGTGGATTGACTATATTCTGTGGCCAAAATGTGGCACGTAGCAGTGTCCCATCAACCATTGGGGATTTGGTATTAATAATAATCCTTGCATTTGATTTAGCCTCTTATCACACTGAAATGTCTCAATGTGCTTCGCAGTAACTACAAAGTGTAGCAACTGTGTTTTTATGATTATTAACAATAATAATAACAATAATCCTTACATTTGATCTTGTATCACATTGGGAGGACATCTGAAAACGCTTCACAGAATTTACTTGAAGTGTAGTGACCATTTTATAGGCGAATGAGGCATCCAATTTGAAAATAACTAGCAGGTGAACTACCAATTTAACTAGAAGACTGTTGGCCAAGACACTGGAAGGGCTCGGTATATAATAATATTCCTTGCATTTGATGTAGCTCCTTATCACATTGTTGAAACGTCTCAAAGCGCTTCCCAGATTATATTGTAAAGTGGATTGACTGTAATTTGTGGGCGAAATACAGCAGCCAATTGCATTCAGCAGTGTCCCACAAATAGTTGTGGATTGAGTTACCAAATTAATATATATTTTTGAGGGATTATTACCTCCGGAAAGCAATTGGCCAATCGACCGGGGTTCCTACTTACTGTTAGGTAAACATACAATGCAAAATTCCATTTGTAAAGTGCCTTTCACATCAGGAAAGTTAGGGATTTGGACCTGAGTGGTGGGGGGGGGGGGGTGGTTGGAATAAGGGAGGGCAGTCAAAGAGGAGGGTCTTAAGACGTGCCTTGAAGGAGGCACAGGAGAGAGTGAGTCGAAGGGAATGTGGGATGGAGTTCCAAAGGGTGGGGGCAGAGCAGCTGAAGGCCCGACCGCCGATGATGGGGCGGGCTGGGTGGGGGACGTGGAACAGGCCGGAGCCTGCTGAGCGAAGAGAGCGGACAGGTTGATAAGAGGTCAGCAGATCACAGAGATAGAAAAAAGCAATAATGACAACAACTTGCACGTATGATACGCCCCTTACTCAGGGTAGTGTCCCAGAGAGCCTGGGCAGAGGCGTGTGGAGTAAGGAAACTTGCCCACCCGGGAATCAAACCTGGGTCATCTCGCTTGCGAGGCGAGTTCTCCAACTAGTACGCTACAGGGCTTTACAGTAAAGCCTGTGAAGCTCTTCGAGACATCTCAACAACAGGATAAAGTTCTATATACACACACACACACACACACACACAAAGTGCAAGGATTAATATTACTGTATTATAATTTGCAATGGTTTGGTGTTTAACATTAATACCCACGAGGGGGCAGCACACCACCTACAGAGCGCTTTCTTCAGCTCTCTGCTGTCATTTTGAAGTGTAAGCAAGTTCTGTGCTATTGTATGCGGTACTCGCTGGAGTTAGTGGCTTGGCTTGTTTTTCACTATTTCTTTTCCTGCCAGGCTGGTTAAACAGCAAACATTCAGAGATTCACTGAAAGATTTCATTACCACCAGGTAACGATGAGGCTGGATCAATTGAATAGTTGAAAAGGGACACTTAGCGGTGAAAATATTAACAACAACAACTTGCATTTGTACAGCGCCCCCTCACAAGGGGTAGGGTCTCAGAGCGCTTGACAGTGGCAGAGCCTGACGTTGAGCAAGGCAGTGAGAGTGACCATAAGCCTGGTCGAAAGGGAAAGCGTTCAGGCACAATCTGAAGATGGAGAAGGAGGGGGCATGGCGGAAGGATTAAGGGAAATTGTTCCAGATTTGGGGCATCTCTGAAAGCGCGGCGACCGATGGTGGAGCAGAGGGCATGAGGGACAAGCAGGAGGCCAGAGCCAGTCAAGCGGAGGTGACGGGTAGTTCATTGGGCAGGAAGCAGGTCGGAGAGGTAGGGAGGTGCCAGAGCATGAAGGGATTTGAAGACGAGTGCGAGGATCTTGAAATCCATCCGTTCTGTGATAAGGAGCCAGTGGAGCCTGTTGTGATGAGGGTATGAAGAGGGATGTGGGAAGAGGATGTGGACAGCGGAGTTCTGGATTAACTGTATTATTTAAACTTTAATCTTCCCATCAAATACTTAAAAAGATGCAAATTTCGCTCTATTTATGTATTCAGAATTTCTTGGTTAAATAAATAAAAATGATGCCTATTCTTTTTTTTCAATGGAAAGATCCTTCATATAATGCCTGCCTTATTGAGACAATCTACAAGTGATGGCAAACATTCTCTTCAGATGTCTGCATCATCAGGGAATTGCTCATATGATTAGCTTCTGCTTAGTTTGAAAACACGTACGTCTCCGTCTCGTAGCTGCACTACCACTGACCTCGGTGATGATAATAATCTTTGCATTTGATGTAGCGGTTTTCACAACAGCAGACGTCTCAAAGCGCTGCAGAGGACTTTGCTTTAAAGTGTAGTGACTGCATATTTGTAGGCAAACACAGCAGCCAATTTGCGCAGAGTAAATTCCCACAAACAGCCATGAACATTGATTAATTTTATCCTGGGCACTGTAGACCAGGACACCAGAAGAAACTCCCTTCTCTTTTTGAATATTGCTGTGGGATTTTTAACATCCATTTTTAACTGGCAGACTTTGGTTTAACTTCTCAACCGAACGACAGCACCTCCATGTTCCTCCCAGCACTGTATTGGAGTATCAGATACTAGGAACATAGGCCATTGAGCTCCTCGAACCTATTCTGCTATTCTACTCGCACATGACTGATCTGTACCTCAACTCCATTTACCTGTCTTTGCTCCATATCCCTTGATACTCTTGTCTAACAATCATCTATCCACCTTAGTCTTGAAAATTTGAATTAATCCAGCATCCACAGGCTTTTGAGGAGAGAGTTACAGATTTCCACTACCCTTTGTATAAAAAAGTGCTTCCTTATTTCACTCCTAAATGTTTTGGCTCTAATTTTAAGATGATGGTTCTGTTCTGGATTCCCCAGCCAGAGGAAATAGGTTCTCTGTTTCTATCCTACCAAATCCCTCTATCATTTTAAACACCTCAATTAGGCAAGTTTCTTTCCTCCACACGCCTGTTTACCTAGCCGTAAGTAGGAACCCGATTGTCAGTCGATTGGCAGATTGAGGGTAATAATCCCTCCAAAAAAGGATTTGTGGAACACTGCAGTGCATAATTGGTTGCTGTGTTTCATCCACAAAATACACAGTTAATCCACTTTTCAGTATATTCTGTGAAGCGCTTTGAGACGTCTCAACAAGGTGATAAGGCACTATATCAAATGCAAGGATTATAAAGGGGAGAGGCTGACTTTCGAGGAAACAAATCAGTCAGGGTTGATCACATGCAGGCTTGTGAACCCTGCTGAAAAACATGCGTGTGCATGTTGGGTAGGAATAGTTTACATACCAGTTACGACCTGCGCAGGGTTTACTGTGGTGACGGTGACGTTGCCTTGCTGTAACGCTGAGGCTGGCAGCACGATCCCCTGGGGGCTCACGGTGCCTGGCAGTGCTGTGATTGTTGTGCTCTGCATCGGAAGCTGCAGAGAAAAGGGGGGAAAGTAGATTTCAGTTAAAGACACTTCTCATGAATAGATTTTTATATAGTATTAAACTGGAGCTAGTCGGTGATAATGCACAGCAGTTGAAACAATGATCTTTCACCCTGCAGTGCCAGGACAGGGGAAAACAAGGTTTGGACAGGTGCCAGGGTCATGGAATGTGCCATTTGGAAACACAGAAACTCCTGGTATATTATTCGACTTTAATAAACCATAATTGTATAGGGTGTCCACAAAGTCCTCTTGATCCCTGCCCCTGTTACAAAACAGCGATATGAGATTACTAAAACAAGCTGTCAAGAGATGCATTTTGTCCTTGTCACTCAATCCATGTTACGGAAGATGTGGTATCAAACATGATACTATTATATCAAACAGGATCATTAACTGCCATGAAAACGATGGCGCTTATCATGCCGATCTTCTGGATGTCTAAATACAGTTAAACTTTTACTGAATTCAATTAAGTGCTTCTAAATACAACTATTATCATTCTTCCACATGTTTCAGTTGTTGGTCAGCGCACTGTAGATGGGGGGGTGGGGGGAGGGGGGGAGAGGAGGGATGGTAACACGGCTTTGCGTACATTAATAGATGTGTCCAACATCAGACTGGGGACCCGCCAAAAAGCTTTGCTAATGCACTGACTTCACAGGGAAGAAATGCACAGAGACTGCTCTGCACAACCAGGGCAGAAGGTCATTCCAGCGAGCCACACAGCAAATGGAGAGCAAACACCAGCGATCTACAACACGTTACCACCCAACCCTCCCCAGCTGGCAGGGAATCCTCACTTGGCCTCCAAGAGACAGCTGCTGCGAGGGATGCTCATTGCTTGTGTAATTAAATACATCATCACACTGACCGTGCCCTTCAACATACAAGCTATTACAGCAAAGCTGGTATGAACTGTCCAGCTCTGGTCAGGCTAGAGGGGAGAGAAAAATATTTCAGGACAGTGTTGGGGGTAGGATCAGGAGTCATTGGGGCAGGCATTGACTGAAGGTGCTAGTCAGAGGGTCTTGAGATGGACCTTCCTTGAAGGAGGCAAAGGAGGGGATGAGGTGAAGGGACTATAGGATGGAGTTCCAAACAAAGGCTGAAAGCAGGACTGCTGATACTAGGGTGGGCAGGAAGGGGATATGGAGCAGGCTGGAGCGGACAGGTGTGTATGGATAAAGAGTTCAGGGTGCGTGTGTGTGGGAGGGGATAAAATCGATCAGGAAAGCTCTGATGGTTTCGTTACCTGCGTTTGCACAGTTGCGTAAGGCCCTCCTGGGTCACTGCTCAGAAGGTTTTCACTGTTCATTTTAGTTTTCAGACAGGCAATGTAGCGGCTGCAGAAATCTTTACACAGGTCATTCACCTTCTCCAGCTCCAGCAGATGAATGCGAAGTACCTGGATCGCTTTCACCATCTAGTCAGAGCCAAAAGACAGAGAAAAGCCTCTCATCAAAGGTCAGCCAACATTCAGATATTTAGAGAACTTCCCTTATACACGCTGCAGTAATTTCCACATGTATGCGGATGACACCCAACTCTATCTCTCTGCCTTCACCCTCAACTCTAGGACTACTGGCATCCTGACTGATTGTCTGTCCGACATCAAGTCCTGGACAAGGGAAAACTTTCTCCAACTGAACATCAGCAAGACCGAGGCCCTCCCGATTGGCTCGCGCCAGCGCCTCCGCACCTCGGGCGCTGGCAGATTCAGTCTCCACGGCTGCACACTCAACCTCACTAAGCCAGTCAGGCACCTGGGTGTCTTGTTTGACCCTAAACTGCTCTTTCTACCCCACATCCGCGCCATGACTGGTTCTGCCTACCATCACCTCCGCAACATTGCCAGACTCCTTCACTGACTCACCCCTCAGGCGGCTAAAACCCTCACCCACGCATTCGTCACATCAAGGCTCGATTATGGAAACTCCCTCCTCATTGGCCTTCTGAACGCTTCCCTTCACAAGCTGCAGATCATCCAAAACTCTGCAGCTCGAGTACTCACGCACACCAGACTCCGTGACCCCATCACTCCCACCCTCACCTGACTCCACTGGCTTCCCATCCATCAGAGGATCGAATTCAAGATCCTCGTCCTCACTTTCAAGGCCATCAAAGGCCTTCTCCCTCCCAGTTCTCTGACCTGCTGACTCCCTACCAACCTGCCCGCTCCATCCATTCAGCGGGCTCCGGTCTGCTTCATATCTCCCACTTGACCCGCCCTACCATTGGTGGCCGGGCTTTCATCCTCTCTGCCCCCACACTCTGGAACGCCATCTCACAGTCCCTTTGCCTCGCTTCCTCCCTTGCCTCCTTCTTGCCGGTCTCAAGACCCTCCTCTTCAACCATGCTTTCAATCGCCCTCCTACCTCTCTGCCTTCCCTCACCCCTACCCCACCTCCCCCATGCTCGGGTGCTGACCCCTGACTGTTCAGCGCCTTCGGACATCCTCCCGATATGAAAGGCGCTCTATAAATGTCATTTTGTTGTTGTTGCAGAATTGCGGGCCACACATACACACACCAATACACACGCACACACACACAGGAGATTTCAGGACCCACATGTCTATGCATTTTCACATCTCTTAGAAATTTCAGCACTGGAGAAGCCCATTTATCCCATCAAATTTGTATTGGTGTTCGTTCCCTATTCTAATCCCATTCCCTGCTCTCTCCCCGTTGTATTTGTGCTGGTGCTCACTCCCCCACTAGAATCTCTGTCATGGATTTCCGAGAGAGAGTGAGAGGGAGCAGTCAATGCTGGCCGTAGAGGGATTAGACTGTCAGATGTTTGTGTCGGGCAGAGATGGCAGGTGTTGTAAAACTGCTATCTGCTTCACCTCTACATATACATGTAAGGTTATTATTATTAAGGTCAGGTATTAACACTAACCCCACCAAATTAGGAGAGAACAGCTGTCCAAGTAGGTGTTACTTGTGGCAAAGCCAATCTGTGACGTTAGTTTCTTTAAAAATAAGATTCTAAAACACAAATGCACCCTCAATGTTCAGGGCAGTCGTGAGTGCACCCCATCTTGAGTACCATAGGGGTAGTGGTTAGCGGGCTTGCCTCACAAGCGATGGAACCTGGGCGGGGCAAAATCTTAGGTAAATTTCCTTACTCCACACTCCTCTGTTTACCTAGCAGCAAGTAGGAACACGGTTGTTAGTTGATTGATGGATCATTTTACGGGGGTAATAATCCCTCCAAAAACAAAAAAAAGTGGTCAATCAATCCACAATGTTTGTGGAACACTGCTGTGCGCAATTGGCTGCCGCGTTTCGCCCACAAAATACAGTCAATCCATTTTACAGTATATCCTGTGAAGCGTTTTGAGACATCGCAACAATGTGATGAGACGATATATCAAGGACTATTAAGGATGAATATAAGCCGCTTTTACCAGGTTATCAATCTCCGGATCCTCACTGAAAAACGGCTTTCCTTCTTTCTCCTGTTTACGCACAAAGTTTTCAATGTCCACATCGAAGCTGGCGGAGGTGATGCACTCGGAGCCTTGGGTGGACTGCTCACACTTCTCAAAGAGCAATGCCAGCAGTGGGAAGAGCGGGTGTCTGCGAAGAAACACAGCATGGTTAGAACCTTTGGCTGCAGCACAGGACACTGTCGGCCTTGCTTGCTCTACATAAGAAATGAGCAATCATTATCTGTAAAAGATTTCTTTCTTTTTCCCTCTCCTCCAATTTTTGTCCTCCCCTCTTATCTTGACCCTGACCCCAGCTCGGGTCTGAAATGCTGAACAATGTCCAGCGCCTTGGGACGTCCTTCCGACGTGAAAGGCGCTGTACAAGTGTAATCTTGTTGCTGTTGAGGATGCTAGCTTGCCCTGGGGTCTGGTTTCATGGACACCAAGTGTCCTCGAGTCCCTCACTCAAGTGGCCATTATCCATGTTTGAGCTTCGACAATTGAATGTGGGTGGGAAATTTAACCATGTGTTAGGGTGGGAAATTGGACCACGGCATAACAGCCAAATCCAATTCTACTCTCATCCAGTGTCCACACACGCACATTCCAGCAAATTGGGGGGAGGGATTACAGGATAGCGAACGGGAGCAGAAACCCTGGCTGATTTTCCCATCCCTAATCCAGAGTCCTGAGGTCAATTGTAGCTCTGACTGAACAAATAATTCAGGGACAGACGGGGATTTGAACAGGTCAGTGCAGGTCAGAACCTTTTCCATGTATTCCTTTCTCATTCTTAACCACACATTCACCTCACTGCTTGATCTTGGACTTTGTAAATGGTAAAGGAAACCCCTCCGTTGCAAGGGCAGGATCTCTGATCCATAAAGGAGAACCGTTTGGATAGATGTCTAACACGTTGCAAGTTTAATAGAGTCTTAAGCAGTTGTTGCACCAGTTGCATCACCTACAACTAGTGCAACCACTGCTCAATGTAGGAGTGTGTGTTCAGGGTGTAGGATAGGGTAAGTGGTCACAGCATTTTATTATCAGTTGTGTTGCTCACTATGTGGCTCACAAGAAGTTCCTGGTACCTGCTATCCACCTAGTTACCCTGTGTTTATCAGCTAATAACCAGGTAGTGACTTTCTGGGCTGGTTGCGGGGGGAATGGTAAGGTAAGATAATCAAAGTGGTTTTGGAGCTGAGCTGTCTCAGCCCTCCACCATCTCTTTTTGCCATGGAAATAGGCCCCCCATCCCGAATCCCTTTCAAGAGCTCTCTCATCCTCGGACCTTCTTTCCCTCTGGCTCTCCATCTGCAGTCTCTTGTTGCTGCCATCAAGCTCCTAAATGGCGCCTCTCCTCCAATTTCTATTCAGTTCTCGCTGAGATCTAGGATTGTCTTCCACCCACTCTTCCGGTAACAATAACCACCTCATTGTCTTAAATCCCAGTCTGTGCATTCAAGCGCAGGTGGTTCAAGCACCATCAAACCTACCGCCTCTCCCTCACACAAGCGGAAATCGCAATCTACTCCAAGGTTATTCTGGAGGCTAAAAACAATGCCAAGCTCCTGTTATCCACCACACATCATCTCCGTGCTTCCCTTCAAGCGACCTTCAATTCTTACCTCAGATTCTCCCACCTTCACACCGAGTGTGAAGAGGCCATGGACCTCTTTGTATCGAAAACAGACAAATTCAACTTGGCTGCATCATCTTCTTCCCTCATCCTTCCCACTATATCCCCCACATTTTCTGCTACTGTCAAACAAACATCAAGGCGTGGATGAGCACCAACTTTCTGCAATTAAGTGTTGACAAGACAGAAGCTATCTTCTCTGGCTCGAGTCAATCTCTTCTTTCCTGCGGCTCCAACCTCTTTAACCTTCCCAGCCTATCCCACAGACTCACTGAAGCTGTCAGGGTCGATTCCCAGTTGTTCCTCCTACCCATATCCGGTCACTGACCAAGACCCCTATCCTCCACCTCCGCCACATGATATGCCTCTGACCATACTTTAGGCAAATTTCCTTACTCCACACGCCTAATAATAATCCCTCCAAAAATCACTTCATGCACGACACCTCCCTATCTCTTTAACCTGTTCACACCCCACTCCTCTACCTGCCCCATTTGTTCAGCCGGCTCCAGGCTCCTGCATGTACCTCGTCCCTCCGTTTCACCATCAGCAACATGCATTCAGCTTCAAACTCTGGAACTACCTGTCTCAATCCCTCTGCGTCGCCCCCTTCTTGCCCAACTTCAGATTGCACCTGAAGATCTTCTTCTTTGAAGGGGCCTACACTCATCTTCCCCCTCTCTCTCTGACTCGGTGCCAAGCTCCATTAAGCACTACAAGGTGCTTCTTTGAGTGAAAGGTGCTATACAAATGCAAGTTGTTGTTGTTGTTAGATGAGCAGGGTGTGTCTCACTGAGAAGAGAATTTGCACGCCATACCCGACAAATGGAGACTCTTAAGCTTAATAATGTAAGTGTCTGATCTTGTCAAACATCAGCTAACCACACCGCAATCAGTGTGAATTAACTGGTTCTCCATCAGCCAGTGCCTTTTCCAACTGGGTTATCTTTCCCAGCCTGTATTCAAAGAAGGGAAACACATCAGAACCAGAATAATGGGACGTACAACGCACATAGAATCATAAAATCTTACAGCACAGAAGGAGGCCATTCAGCCCATCGTGCCTGTGCTGAGCCGGGTCTATGAAAGAGCTACCAACTAGCTCAAAGTTATCAAACTTTGTACAGAATTTATTTTTACGGACTCCAGGCCCTGGCACACAGTTTGCATCAGAAGCTGGGTTACATAAAGCATGGGTGTACCTGTAAATTGCACCTTTATCAGCTTCCATTGATGTCTGGGACTCGGCAGGGACTGGGCTCACAGCACTGGCATCAGGTTTGATGCAGCTAGGACCAGGCTCAATGCTGTGGGACATGTGAGGTACAACTGGCATCTGGAGACAAAGAGAAAACACGGCAGTGAGCAAAACATTCCCCGCTTTTCAAGACAGAGGGGATAGAGGAAATATATGGTGCATTCCAGTCAAAACAGACCATTCATCTACAAATTGCTTCATGCCCTGGCATCTCCCTACCTCTCCAACCCGTTCTTTTTTTCCCCAATCCGCTACCCACCACCTCCCCTTGGCTGGTTCCTTCCTCCTGCTTGTCCCTCGTCCCTTCAGATCCACTATCGGTGGTCGTGCTTTCAGCCACTACACCCCAAAGCTTTTGGAACTCTATCCCCAATCCCTCTACCATTCCCCCTCCTTCCCCTCTTTTCGATCAGGCCTGAAGACCTTCCTCTTTGACAGTGCTTACGGTTACCAACTCCCTCCCCTTGGCTCAACGTCAGGCTTCGCCACTGTTAAGTGCTCCGAGATGCTGCGTGAAGGGCGCTATATAAATGCAAGTTGTTGTTGTTATTAAGTATTTATTGAATCTTGATTCGTTCTTGATCCAACATATCAAACAGACAAACTGAACTATATAGCAACCCACCACGGCTTGCAATAAGTGCACATTTGGGAGCACGTGAAGATATTGCAGTTTTCCTGGAAAATGATGTCACTGAGGCCAACAATAAAAATGTGGAGGAACAAAACTTTATAAAAGCAATTAGAGAAATTAAATGTGCAAAGGGAGTAATAGCAGACACTGGATTAAAAAATGAAACAGAAGAAAAATGATATTATTTAAATAGGAGCATTTCAAGAACTGAATGCCATTTAGAGAAAAAGAACTCCAGCAGTTTTTATGAAGAATCAACAACAACAACTTGGATTTATATAGTGCCCTCCACGCCGGGTGGCGTCTCAGAGCGTTTCACAGTAACGGATCCCGGGGCCAAGCCAGGGGGAGGGGGAGGAAGGTGACCAAAGGTGTGGTCGAAAAGAAAGGCCAATTCAATCATTGAATTTAGAGTACAAAAGGTGGTCATTTACGACTGTGCTGGTGTTTGCTTCTCTATCTTAAACGCACACTCCTGTTCTTTCTATCGTGTCTGAGCTGGTCCTCGCTCCCCCACGGGAGCTCTCTACTCCAATCCCATTCCCTCCCCCATCGTACCTGACTGGTGCTCGATCCCCTACTGGAGCTCTTTATTCTAATCCTATTCCTTGCTCTCTCCCCATCGTGTTTGTGCCGATGCTCATTCCCCACTGTAGCTCTCTTGGTGAATCCCGTTCATGTGCTTGTTACTCAACGTGTTTGTGCCGATGCGAACTTTGAGGTGGAGTTTGAAGGTGGTCCTGAGGGTGAGGTGCGAGGACTGATTTGATGGTAATAATAATCCTTTCATTTGATATAGACCCTATCATGTTGTTCAGATGTCTCTCGGACTCCACCTTGCGTGAGCGGTGCTACATAAATGCAAGTTGTTGTTGTGGTGGTCTCAAAGTTATACTGTAAAGTGCGGTGACTGTGTGTATTTTGTGCGTGAACGCAGCAGCCAAATCGTGCACACAGCAATGTCCCACAAACAGCCATGGAGTGAGTGACCAACTTTATTTCGGGGCCAGGACACCGGGAGAAATTCTTTTTTTGATCCTTTAACATTCACCTGGACAAGCAAGACAGGACCTTGGTTTAACATTTCATCTGAGGATGGAACCTCCGACAATGCAACACACCTCCTAACGATGCTGCATTGATCATATCAGTTCCGAGTGAGAACGTGAGACTCGAACGCACAACTTTCTGACTCAACAACAACAAATTACATGTGTATAATGCCCTTCACGGCTGGAAGATGTCTCCAGGTGCTGGACAGTCAAGGATTTGCACTCGAGGTGGGGTTGGGATCAGGAGGGGTGGAGGGCAGGCAGGGTAGAGGTAGGAGTTTGTCCAAAGTCGCGGTCGAAGAGGAGGGTCTTGAGACCGGCCTTGAAGGCGGCAATGGAGGGGGCGAGACAAAAGCACTGTGGGATGGAGTTACAAAGGGTGGGGACAGAGGGGCTGAAGGTGAGACTCAGTGGTTAGAGTACTACAAAATGAGTCAGACTGACACACTGGTATTGAAAGAGTGGGTGGAGAAATCCAAGGACAGGGCTTCTAAGCAGAAACAATGCGGATAGAAATATTACCTGATAGGATTGCGAACATGTTGTAAACTGCATGGTCTATTACGAATTTGAGAGGATGTAGTTTTCTGCTTATATACAAATTCAAAGGCTCAACTGTCTGCATAGACGTTCTGCAGTAACTGAAGAACACAATCAGGATCATCTACTGCTCAGCACCATGATCGTCACATAAGGAATTTTTCCTTTATCTCGATGTGAGTATTTATTTGTGCAGTCCTAAGGTGTAATAGTTAAAGCACCCGCCTCACAAGCGAGAGAACCCTGGTTCGATTCCCGAGCAGGGTGAGACCTTCAGCAAGTTTCCTTACCCCGCGTACCGGTTTACTTCGCAGTAAGTAGAAACCTGGTTGTAAGTCGATTGGCGGATTGCTTTCCAGGGGTAATAAACCCTCCAAAAAAAACCAATAGCAATTTTAAAAAAATGTGGTCACTCAATCCACGACTGTTTGTGCGCATTTGGCTGCTGCTTTTCACCCAGAAAATACACTGAAAAATGGAGCAACTGCATACAGACATCTTAACGACATGATAAGTTGCTGCATTAAATACAAGGATTATTATCATCATTATTATGTACACACAAAGTAAGAAATTGATAAGCGGATTGACGGCTGATCAAATATCTCAAAAATCTGCCCTTTGTATTCCCTACACAACAGTTAGTATTTCACAAACATGCAGTTCAAACCTAATCAGAATTGACTGAACTCTCAACACTTAACACCAAGTCACCTCACACCCTCTTCACATGACTGACAGTATCAGAGGCGTACAATGCTCCACGTAGGGCAAAACATTATCAACAGGAGATTCCATCAGCTCCACGGCAACCCAACTCTGAAACAAAACATCCTGCTCCAGCAGACGGCTCCAAATGAGATCGGGAAGCATTCACACATTCATTTAATTTCACTTTCAGCTTGAGTTCGGCGCTCAATTAGACGACAGCGACGGTAGGATTGGGGCCCGGTCGGGCCTGAATCTATAGGACAAGCGTGTAGTGAGCAAACCCAAACTTGTCAAATTAAATTGGTGGGTTTTTCTTCAATGATCGAGGTGGGTATCAGTCAAATCGATTCCCAAATTACTAGCGTACATAGAGAGTGAAACGTAAACCACAAAGGAAGATGTATTTTCCTCCCTCTTCAACAGAACTGTATAAAAAAAAACTAAGCATCAAATGTAAGAGATTTATCCTACTTGTTGGCTCCAATAAACGCAGCGTCCCGCATCACTGCCCCAGGTACAAAGCTTAGCCGGTTCCACCAACCTCCGTGATGCATTGTTCTATCACAGCACGGCCTCAAAGGCTCGGGTTTAATCCATAGAGATCGCTTGGAATACACCAAGGATTCGGTCTGAACTTTTACATACGGCTGAACAGCTGACTAAGCCCTGAAAGTGACTAGCCAAATAGCTATCTCTTCTTTCAGAGGGAGGAACAATGAATGGTTTTATAAAGAAAACATCTACAACTTTACAATCACAGTGATGCGTAATTATTACAACCCTGGGCAAAATACTGTTGCCATTAGCAACCACTGCAATTAAAATAAAATGACTAGGGTTGTTTCAGAGGAGATGCACATTCCAAGTGAGGCGAAGACATTTCTTCCCACACAGAGTGGCGAGAATGTGCAATACACTGTCCCAGGAGATGCAGAATTGTATTCAGATGGAGGAGATTCTAGATGCAGAATTAATTCAGACATATAAAAGATGTATTTGGATACTTCGGTAGTAAGAAGTCAGACAAATTCAGCATCACTTTCCATGAATTATGCTCTAGCCTTCAGCTATATGCCTCATGAACCAGGTCACTCTGTTTCCTGCCGACGCACACTGCTGCCAGTTTCAGTGATCTTGCCATTCGTATCCCCAAACCTCTCTCCTATATGGCGTCCTGTACATTATTTATTCTCCTTTCACCAATCTAAATTACTCTGAATTTGTTAGACCAACTGCTTAATCTATCCAAATCCCTCAGCAATTTAAGCGCTCTGAGACGATATCCCGCATGAAGGGCGCTATATAAATGCAAATTGTTATTGTCGTTTGTTCCCTGTTAATTGCAACTCCTCCAGTTTAGTATCATCACCCTAGCTTGGTTTCATTCCCATTTCCAAGTTATTTACAGTGTAAACAATAGTAATCTTTGCATTTGGCACAGCATTTTTACACTGCCAGGTGTCCCAAAGTGCTTCACAGGATTTACTGTGGAGTGACTGTAGATTTGTAGGTGAACATGGCAGTCCAATTGAACATGGAATGTCCCACAAACAGCCATGGAGTGAACGATCAATTTTATTTGAGAGATGATTGGCCAGGACACCGGGAGAAACTTCCTTCTTTTTCAAATAGCGCCGTGGGATATTTAACATCCATCTGAACAAGCAGATGGGACCTCGGTTTATCAGCTCATCTGAAGGATGGCACCTCTGACAATCCAGTGCTGCATTGAAATGTCAGCGTAGACTTGGAGTTCAAAGTCCCAATGTGAGGCTCGAATCCACAACCTTCTGACTCTGAGACAATAGTGCTACCAACTGAGCTAGGCTGACCCCAGAATATAAAGAGATATACAAGGACAGAATGAATTGTGAAGCCTGTGGACAAGCTCTTCAAAAAGGGTTTCATGAACATCCCTGAATAGACATTTCCAGCACCAACAAGCTCTAAAATATCAGCATCCCAGAACTGCTCAAAGCACCTTGCGATGGGAACAGGTTAGCACTTCAATGTGTACACCTCTTGTCCTGCTCCAGAACTACAACTGTTACAAGCTGAAGTTTGCAGAAACGCCATTAATGGGTACAAAACTTTTTTGGGTGTCAGCCAGGTGTCTGACACATGCAGAAACCCATCACCATGTGTAAGAGTATCCAAACCAAACTGAGAACTCCATGCATCCCACCTACATGTCGAAATTCCAGAGATGGATTGTTAGAATGGCATGTGCACTCTCTCCCTGAGGGACGCATCCTGCTTAGCTAATTCAGGAAGCTATTAGACGCAGGTTGGCAGGAGCCAAGGCTTGGGGACCACAAACACTTCCAACAGATACTGATTGAACATCTGCTAATGCTACTCTAGCTCCCTCGCAGCGTCCCGTGTCACTGACTATATTGCTACTGATGTCAGTCCAATTCCCTCTTCAAGTTCAGATGCAGTGATTCGTCCCAGATATAATAATAATAAACCTTACAACTGATACAGCGCCATAGCCTGTCATTGAGATGTCTCAATGTCCCTCACAGGATATATTGTAAAGTGAATTGACTGTATATATTGTGGGTGAAACGCAGCAGCTAATTGCGCACAGAAGGGACCCACAAACAGTCGTGGTTTGAGTCACCACCAACTTATTTATTTTTGAAGGGATTATTACCCCGGAAAGCAATCGACTTACAATCAGGTTCCTACTTACTGCTAGGTAAAAAGAGGCTTGTGGAGTAAGGAAACTTGCCTATGGTTTTTCCCTGACCGTGAATCTAACCCGGGTCCTCTTGCATGCGAGATGAATGCTCTAACCAATATGCCGCAGGAATCCAGTTTACAGAGCGACTGGGTTTATATGCAGCTAATGCCACACGAAAAACAACATCTGCCCTGTTGCACCACTATCTTACCTGTTGCTCCTCCGGGTAGGAATCGAGGGTAATTGCCTGTGTTGCCATCATGGTTCTGTGGCGAGCTGCAACCTTTCACATCATGAGAAACACATCAAGAGCCCTGAAATGAAAGGAAAATTGCCATTTAGTTTGCAAGTCCATTTTTCACATCCTTCATCGTCTAAACTGGATTATAGACGCTGAATACCCTCGCATGATACCAGTTACTCTGGCTCAGATACCAGATATTGCACAGCCCGTGCCCAGGAAAACTGGCTCAGATATCAGAATAATGTACTCCTATCCTCCCCTCAACAGTGGAGTCCTGTAGCGTAGTGGATAGAACACTCGTCTCACAAGCGATAGGACCCGGGTTCAATTCCCGAGCAGGGTGAAACCTTAGGCACATTTCCTTACTCCATTTGCCTCTGTTTACCTAGCAGTAAGTAAAAACCCAGTTATTAGTTGATTGTTGGATCGCTTTTTGGGGATAATAATCTCTCCTCCAGTAATAAGAACTCAATCCACGACTGTTTGTGGGACACTGCTGTGCGCAATTGGCTACCATGTTTCAGCCACAAAATATATTCTGTGAAGCGCTTTGAGACATCTCAATGCCGTTCCAAGGCACTATATCAAAGGACATGATATATCAAATGCAAGGATTATTATATTATTTAACAGCAGACTTTCTCTTCCCCTCTCCCCAGCTCCATTGTTATGTGTATCTGTATCCTGCCTGCTGGTTTCTATCCCAGTGTTTTTCCATTATTTTCTATACAGTATTAGATCCTTTCATTGCCTTGTCCAATACTCCAGGCCTCTGCCAGCCCTGCTCTAAGCAGCTGCTTTGAGGAGTAAGGGGTTCTTACGCTGGCTGCGTAAAATAGCTTGAGGGCTATTTTTGAGTTGCTCTCTAGATGTATGCTGAGCGTCCAGCTTAGGTAAGCCAGTTATTATTAAAATAATAAATCTTACATTTGATATAGCGTCTTATCATGTCATTGAGAAGTCTTAAAGTGCTTCACAGGATATATTGTAAAGTGAATTGACTTTTGCCCACTAAATATACAGTCAATTTACTTTACAGTATATTCTGTGAAGCACTTTGAGACGTCTTGAAGACGTGATAAGGCACCATATCATAAGTAACGATTATTATTATATTTTTGTGGGTGAAACGTGGTAGCTAATTGCACATAGCAATGCCCCAGAAACAGTCGTAGATTGAGTGACCAAATTTTATTATTATTATTTTAAGGGATTAATACCCCAACAAAGAAATCCGTCAATCGACTAACAACAGGGTTCCTAATCACCGCTAGGTAAACAGGTTGCCTAAGGTTTCGCCATGCCCGGAAATCAAACCGGGTCCTCTCGCTTGTGAGGAGAGTACTCTAACCAATACACTACAGGACTCCACCAATACACTATGGGACTTCAGATAGTTATGGGAGAAGCACATCATTGTCAGCTCAGTCTGCACACACACACACATGTATCTAAGATGTATGAAGAAGTTCCTCCATAACCAAACAGAGGCTGATTGTAGCCCCGAGTCCCACCCATATTGACCCATCTTTTGCACAGATCTATCATTGGAGCCGTGTTTGCTTTAATTCCACTGCCTTGATCGCCTCCCCAGCAATTCCTTTCAGCCGTTCCATCCTGCCACTAGCACCCTGTGCTTAACGTTAATCCTGATCAGCCCACTCTCCGACAGCAAGCATATTGAGAATAAATGTCTCACTTCCCATTGGGCTGGAGCCTGATCCTGAATGACATCTGCTCAGCGCTTCATGCTTCCAGCTCCTTCCTACTATTGGGAGAAAGGAGGCTTAAAAATAAAAGTGAAGACAGCCATCTTAAGCAGCCTTTACTCAGCAAAGCAGACGCTTTGAGCAGGGCTGGCAGAGGCCTGGGACATTGGACAAGACAAGGAAAGGAACTAATACTACAGGTGGAGTCCTAGTCTATCGGTTAGAGCACTTGCCTTGCATACGAGAGTACCCGGGTTCGATTCCCAGAATTCAAGTAAATAGGAACCTGATTGTTAGTTGATTGGCGGATCGCTTTCCAGGGGTAATAATCCCTTCAAAATAAGTAATAATTTGGTTACTCAAACCACAACTGTTTGTGGGACATTGCTGTGGGCAATTAGCTGTCCCGTTTCACACATTAAATACAATCAATTCACTTTACAGCACATCCTGTGAAGCGCTTTGAGATGTCTCAACAATGTGATATGGCGCTATATCACATTCAAGGATTATTATTATACTGTACAGAAAGCAATGGAAAAACACTGGGATAGAAAGCCTAAGAGAAATTTATTAAGAATGCACCTGTGAGCTGCTTCCACTCAGTTAGCAGCCAAGTACCCTGGGTCTCCAGAGCCCTAGGTGCTTACTTGGAGACCTTAAGGGACTGGGGGAAATGAAATGCCCTCTGTTCTGGGGAGAGGGAATACATAGGGAGTGGGAGGATTCCCTACCCCCAGTGACTGGTCTGCCCTTCCAGGTCCTGCCGATGAGCCAAGCTGGGGCTGTTCTGTCATCAAAACAAAGTCATTCAGCCCATCACATTATATTCACAGTAACCTAATACAGTTCATAAATAGGCCATCAGCCCATCCAGTTCAGCCAGTGTTTATACTCCACAGGGAGGCCCATCTTAGATCCTATCCCTAGTCCTATATCCTGGCTTTTTCCTCATGTCCCTAAACTTTATTCTCCTTCAACCACATGTCCACAGTCTTATTTTAAAACATGCACACAGTTGTTGCCCCAACAACTGATCAAAAATTCCACACTCGCACCATTCTCTGTTGGAAAAAGTTCCTCTTCATCTCTGTTCTGGACCTTCCAATTCTGATTCTAAAACTATGCCCTGCAGACTCTTCCCCCTCACCCATAATCTTTCCTAGTTCACACTAGCTAAGCCTCCCATTAGCGGGGAATCATCCCACTCAGCTCCGGTTAACCTGCAAGCCAAAGTCCTAATGGGCAAGGTTTTCCTAGCTGGGACAAGCAGTGCGAGAGCTTACTTGTCCCAGCTAGGAAAGTGATATCAATGGCAACCTGCACGGTTTTAGCTGCTTAGACACCAGGAGTTCCCCCAACGCTTTCGCCAACTTGCACCTAATACTCTCCGGAATTAGGTAAGGAGAGTGTGTCGCTGCAGGGAGAGAGTGTGCATTCTATCCCAGCAATCTACCTCTGGAATTTCCACGTGTCGGTGGGATGCATGGAATTCTCAGTTTGATTAGGATATTCTTAAGCACGGTGTGATGGTTTTCCCCATGTCACACTCCCGACTGACCAAATAAAAACTATCATACCCCCTCTCAGTTTTTTTCCTGTGCCGGAAAGCAGGGGAAGGGCTCCACTTCCTGTGGCTTCATTGGCCAAAGATCTAATAACAGTCAGTTCATCTCAAGTTAAGCATGGAATTAGTTATTCTTCTGTCACTGTATTTGCTGAGCAATAGATAAGAGTCAGAGTTTGAGGAGCTTTGCAAGAGGTCATTCAGTGGAGTCCTGTAGCTCAGTGGTTAGAGCACTCGCTTTGCGAGCGAGAGACCTGAGTTCAATTCCAGGCAGAGGGCGAAACCTTGGGCAAGTTTCCTTACTCCACACAGAGCCTAATAATAAACCCTCCAGAAACAAAAACAATAAATCTACGACTGTTTGTGGGACATTGCTGTGCGCAATTGGCTGCCGCGTTCGCTCACAAATACACAGTCAATTCACTTTATGGTGTGTTCTGTGAAGCGCTTTGGGACGTCCTCCCGACTTGAAAAGCGCTATATCAAATGCAAGGATTATTATTATTCTTCATTCTAAATTCACACTGTCTGGGCACTGATTAAGATTCCAGCTCCAGTTCATCAAGCTCCAGTTACATCAGAAGCCTGGAATATCAGAGACATCCAGACACATTAAACAATTTGAGACTTCACCCTCAGACGCATTATTTGAAGTACTGAACCACTGTTGTTCCCGGCGTCAGGCATGATGCGGGCTGAATCACGAGTGGCCCTGAATGACTGAACATTTTACTCCAGAGTTCACACTGCATCACACAGATCAAAGACCATTACCTCAGCTCTCACATGAGGGAGAAAAGGCAAATGGCTCATGATCAGATAAGGCTCTGAAATGAATTTCAACTTTTGGTAAGAAGCTTTTCAGTTCAGTCGTGAGGAGCTTGCATCTCACACCCTAGCACCACGACCACACTCGCCGGACAGCGTCCAATGTCAGTATTAAAGCGCCAGTGACGTCTGGCAAGCTTTCTCGTTGCTTGTCCAGCTAGGACCACCCTACCTGTTAAGGCTTTGGCTTGCAGGGTTAACAGGAGCTAAGTGGGAGGATTCCTGCCCCCAGTGACTGGTCTGCCCTTCTGGGTCCTGCCGATGAGCCAGGCTGGGGCTGTGCTGTCATCAGCAGTGCCCTGGAATATTGCGGACCCGCCCGGCTCAGAAACCGGACCACTGAGACCGCCACAGAGGGTGGACTTGATTCCGACATTCCGTTGTCAAGCATATCACCTCGGAGCCAGTTCAGCTCTTACCTCCCCACCAAGGAGGATCACCAACACATCACGATGCCCTTCCTGCCATCAAACAGTACAAGCTTTGCTCCAGAACAAAAATTCAGCGACAGCTGTTCCGTGAGCAGATGTTCAAACCAATTTTAAATCCTGTTTCGAACAAAGCAACTCAAAACACAAGACGCTTTATGTGATGAAATTCTAGCATTGTTGCTCGATTTATACAGCAACTGTTTACAGGTCCTACAGGCCTCGTTAGATGACAGTATTCTAGGTACTCCCCAGGGAACCAAGTTACTGATCAACCACAAAACCCAGGGCCTCATGCAACCAACATTTAGAACAATAACACACACAGCAGCTAACTGTTAGAGAGCTTGGAACGTGTAATTTAATGTACTACAGCTGCCAGTTGAACTCCAAATCCACTCGGCAACTACAGAGCTCTGGAGAGTTGAACCCTTGCAGTTTTTCACAATAAAGCATCTCTTCTGTCTGTGTTTGATGTTACGAGTTTATTATGAAAGATTCTGTACAAACACCGATCGTATTGCAGATTACAAATCAGGGCTTCACTTTGAAAAGAAAGCAGCTTCATGACGAATTTTGTAAAACCACTCAGGATTTAAATGGGAGTATTAGAGGAAGTAAGAGGCAAAAGAAACCAGGCAGCAGTAAGTAAAGAAAGGATTCAGTTATGCCAGCAGTGGGGTGTTAAGAGACCATGTGCTGTAAGAATCATTTAGGAAGACTTATGAAGGAGATAACAGATTCTATTCACATCAATTTTCTCAAAACTGGTCAAGTTCCAGATCCAGTAGTTTTTTGGCCCAGCAAGGTTTAACACAAATAATAGCAGTGTGAGTATTACAGACAAAGGAATCAGAGGATACAAGATTTTAAATAATAATAATTTGATCACTCAATCCACAACTGTTTGTGGCCAATGCTATGTGCAATTGGCTGCCACGTTTTGCCCATAAAATATACAGTCAATTAACTTTACAGTATATTCTATGAAGTGCTTTGAGACGCCTCAACGACATGATAAGGTGCTATATCAAATGCAAGGATTATTATTATTGTGAAGATGAAGCAATTGAAAGAAGCAACTCTATGGTGTCCTGCCGCAGGGCTAGCACTGCTTCAGGTTACTTTGAACACTAGTCAAGAGCAGAAAATAAGTTGTCTAAATTCGCATTAGCAATCTGTATGGATTTTGTAACAATTAGAAAAAACATTGATAAAAAACGTTGAATAGATTAGGTATTTTGTGCTGATTTATAATTAAAACTAAATTGGTATTTTAATCTATTTGGCTCAAATCATAATTTTATGGTTGTCTTATGTGAATGTATGTAAAGTGGTGGGCCAGGGAATCACAACTCCTTGTGTCTCCTTGTGGCTGAACTGATTCCACAGTGACTTGCTAGGCCACAGAATGTCGGAATTGGGTCAATCTATGGTGTTGGCCGATGTAGTCCAGATCTTGATCCAGCCTGGCTTACCGGCAGTACTTGGAGGAGCAGACCAGTCACTGGGATCAGAAGGTCTTCCCACTCAGTTCCCGTTAGCCCAGCAGACAAACCCCTAATGGCAGGGAGAAGGTTTGCCAGATAGTGCTCTCAATGGCAAACTATGCAGCTTTAGCTGGTTATACTTCAGCAGTTATCCCAACGCACACTCTGGTATCTGGCTCTTGCCTACCTGTGCTAATATTCTCTGGAATTAGGCGAGCATGAGTGCACATTCCTTTGCAGACATGTGGAAATTTTTATGTGTAAGTGGTGTACACATGTGATACTCTCAAGTCTGATTTGGATACTCTATGCATGGTGATGGGTTGCTGCATGCATCAGACATCAACTGGCCAAGGATAAGAGGGGTTTCAGGATATAGAAATGCAAAATTCTCCCTCTAGGGTCCTGCTGTCAGCTTTGAGGAAAGAAAGTGAGCTAGTTCCTGAGCTATACAAGTCTGAACACTTCATCCCTGCCCCCATGCACAGATTCCTCCTGCTTATGCTAAAATTAGTTTCAAGAGTTTAAAAAGCTAGAAATGGGCTTCCTTTGCCTTAGAATTTCCAATATATAGGCCAGACATCAATTACCCCCCTCCTTCACTTTATGCTGTCTCGAACCCTGGGACGCTTCTAATCTTAAATAACAAGACTTGCTTTTAATACAGCACCTAATCCATCCAAAAGTCTCTTGGCGCTTCTCAAGGAATTGCTGTCAAATATAGTGAATCTGCATTTGTGGATAAGCGTGGCCACCATTCACATAGTAAGGTCCCACAATCATCCATAATAATAATCCTTGCATTTGATAGAGCGCCTTATCAAATCATTGAGACATCTCAAAGCACTTCACAGAATATACTGTAAAGTGAATTGACTTTATTTTGTGGGCAAAACAAGGTGAGGTGAATGGCGAACATATCTGAAGGATTGTGGCCAACATACCAGGAGAAGCAAGCCCCTTTCTCTTTTCTATTAGTGCCATGGGATATTTAATGAAGGAAAGCACATTCAACAATGCAAGACTTCTCCAAGCACTGCAGTATTGCGTTGAAACTCCCAATATAGGATTTGAACCCACGTTTATGACTGAGGCTACCTACTGAGCCATGTGGACATCTAATCTGGGATAGAGATGCTATCTACCTGCAGTGAACAGGAAATAGTTAAGTGTCTTTGTGTTTTTGGCATAGCTCATTCTTGAACATTAAACCCAGCAAACAATAAGCTTCCTTTCCACAGAGAAGTCAACAAACGTTACCCCAAATTAAAACGTATTAGGCACTCCAAGACTTCAATGTATCAACACCTCATAGCAGCTCAGAACTGCCCACAACTTAACTAAACACAGAACAGCCAATTATACAACATTGCTCACCAACTAATTTTGGTAATGTGGAACTTGCGCAAGTGCTTGGTTAGACCTCAGTTATTGCATATTATACAGTTTTAGCCATCTCATTTTAGGAAATACATAAAATATAAAAGCAATGGAAAAGGTACAGCACAGAATAATAATGTATACACACACATTTTCTGCAAAGAAGGGGGGCCTTAAAAGTTTCCAAAGCATTGCTTAGTAATTTGTTTGTGCTTAGTGCTGTGTTGCAATTCTTTGGCTGAAGGTGTTCAAACAGATGTTCACAATATTAACAGATAGTGCCCCAGTATCTGGGCTTGGTTTACCCTGATGACATCTCTTGTGGCCAATGTGTCAAGACAGCCGCTTACTCCCCAATCTCTGGCAAATCTATTATGAATCGACCAGGACCATAGGCACAAACACACAGCATAACACATGAAGAATCTCAAGTTTCCCTTCCCAATGGTGAAGTACCTGTAGGCATCAGGACCAAGATCAGGGATTTATTGGCGTGTAGAGAAACTACCCTTCAGTGCTGTGCTCCAGCAGGATATGAGTATTTTGAGAACAGCAACTTGCATTTATACAGCGCCCTTCACCCTCTGGGCTTAGGGCAGGGTGGTCAGAAATTTTAAATACATTGGTTGCCCTAAGACGACCAAATACAAGTCCAAAAGTAGTCCGATATTATGATATTACAAAATTCCAGCAACTTGGGACGTCCTCCTGATGTGAAAGGTGCAATGCAAATATAATTTGTTGTTGTATATGGGAGGAGTCAAAAGTGACTAATTTAAGTTTAGTGCTTTTTGAAACTGTAAGAAAAAAAGAAATAAAAAGGCCCCAACATTTTGCAGGTTTAAATTAAACCATCTAGGACCAACTAGTGACTATCCTCTGGGTGGGGGGGGGAGGGGGATAGGAGCACCTCCTTGGGTATTGAACTGGCTACAAGGTGACATGCCTGGCAATGAAATGCCAGAATCGAGGCGGCCCTCTGCGGCGGCCTGATTCGTCTGCGGGAAGGGCAGACCAGTCACTGGGATCAGGGAGTCGTCCCACTCAGCTCCTGTTAACCCTGCAAGCTTAAAAACCCCGACAGGTGGGGTGGTCCAAGCCTGGACAAGCAGCGGGAAACTCTGCCAGACAGTGATACCGATATCAAGCCATGTGCGGTTAAAACTCCCAGCAGTTGCCCCCCAACGCACACTCTGGGGTCCCCCCCCCCCCAGCCTCATCTCTTGCCAACCTGCGCCTAATACTTTCCGGAATTAGTTAAGCAGGATGCGTCCCTCTGGGGGGGGGGCGATAAGAGTGCGCGTTCCTTTCCAACAATCCACGTCCTGGGGTTTTCCACGTGGGCGCCTGGAATTCCCAGCTCGGACACTCTTTTAATCAGGGCGACGGGGGTCTCCGCACACGTCCAGACACGCGGCTGACCAACCCCCCCCCACCAAAAAACAAGCAAGGGATTTGCCCGCTCCCCCCCCACCCCACAAATTATTTCACCCTGGGGTGGAGGGGGCGCCGCGCGCGGTCAAAAAAATTATTTGGTGCTTTGTGTTTGGGAGGGAGAAGAGAGAGGGGGAGGTGGGGGGGCAGTCGGGAGGGCTCGGGCGGGCGGGCGCTCTTTTCCAGACAAAAAAAAATTCCGACCGCGACCGCCCGCTGTGCTCCGAGTGCGCCATTTTCCGTCCAATCAGGCGCCAGCAGACAGGGCTCGAGGAGCGGGGGAGGGGGGGGGGGGGGTGAGTGACGTAGACACAAACGGGTGATGCGCGCGACTGCTCGCGTGCGCGCGCCCGCCCGCCCGAATGCGTGACTACGCACGGCCCGACAGTTGACGTTCCCTCGCGTCGTCGTCGTCGTCTTCTTCCTCCTCCCTTCCTTCCTTCGTCCTCCACCCCCCTCCCCCCACCCCTCCCTCAACTCACTCACTCAAACTCTCACAGCCACAAAACACATCGCGTCGCGGCCCACTCCACTCCCCCCCCACCACACACACACACACACACACACCCCCCCCCTTCTCGCCCCGCAACCCAAACCGCCGCGCTCCTCCGCTCGACGGACAAAGAGGAGGGAGAGCCGCCACCGCCTCCTTCGCAGCGCTCCCTTTTTCCAGAATGTTCGGCGAGGAGAGAGAGAGAGAGGGAGACGGACGGTGGTGGTGGTGGTGGCGGCGGCGGCGGCCGGGTTGGGGGGGGGGGAGTAGAAAAATAAAACGTAGGAGCGGCACCGACGGACGGACCGGAGCCCAACCGTCGCGCCGCCTGGGCTTTTTTTTTTGGACTTCGACCGGATACTCGGGATTCGGTGAGCGGGAACGGAACTGGAGGAGGAGGAGGGGGGGGGGGGGGCGAGAGCGGCGTGAGTGACAGCTTACCTTGATGCCAATCTTCATCAGACTGACAGGCGCTGCAGCAATCAGCCCCACGTAGGCGCGGCGCGTCAGCACGCCGCGCGCAAAACTCGGACGTGCGTGGCGACGCGCGCTTAATATTCACGAGGAGGCGGTGTCTCCGCGCGCCGCGCCCCGCCCCGGCCCGGGCGCTGCGCTTGAGCCTGCGCACGTCGCCACGCGCGATTAATATTCATGAGGCAGCGCGCGCTGATTGGTTGGGGTGGGCGCGTGACGTGTGTGGGTGGCGGTGGAGGGGGGACGGGACGGGGGGGGACGGGGAGATGTCACCCGAGCAGCTTGACGCGGCACGCACGTACGTACGCACGCACACGCACGCACGCACGCTGCCCCCAACGACCAACGGTGATCTTGGGCTTCTTTGGGGGGGGGGCTTCTGTTTGGCGGACTTTGGGCTACAAACGGCTGACTTTGGGCTACAACCGTCGGCTTTGGGCTACCAAAGTAACTTGCAGTGGGGCCCCTTTCGCGCACAAAAACACAGCTGTCGGCACCTTCGGGGCGGTGTATCCTGGGAAGCGCCTCGAGACGCCTGGATGACGTTGATGATGGGGCCGTGGCGGCGGCACGGTTTTACGATTACAATCCCCGGAGGGGTCCGGTCGGCAAAACGCTGCCCCGATGCCGGAAATCTGAGAAGACAAAAGCAGAAGGCGGCTGCGGCGTCGCTGATGGGTGCTTCAAATAGTAGAAAATGGCATCCTGTCGGCGGGGGGGGGGGTGGGGGGTGGGGGGGGGGGGGGCTGCCTCCTGTGCGAGTGTTGACTTTGGACTGCGCGCCTATTTATGTTGCGGGTAACTCTGCCCAACAGCCGGCCCCGGCTGCTCTGAGGACTGCTGTCCTCCTCCCGCTCCCCGTACTCCTCCTCCCGGCCAGACGTGCCGACCCTCTCTCTCCTTCCCCGCTCCAGCCCTCGCAGCACAGCCGGAAACTCCCCCCTTCCTTCCTTCCCCCATCCCCCCACCACCCCTCCATAAATTATAAATTGGATCGTTTTTGTATCATCCCACGTACACGTGGACATTCCAGAGATAGATTGCTCTGGAGGCCACTACTGGAGTACGGTTGACTGTGCGCAATTGGCAGCCGAGCTTCGCCCACAGGATATACATAACGTAACGTGTAGGAGCAGGAGGAGGCCATTCGGCCCTTCGAGCCTGCCCCGCCACTCAATCATGGCTGATCTTCTAATCTAACTCCAGCTAATAACCTGACCCTGCCTTATCCCCATATCCCTTAATCCCTTTCTCTCAGTCTTGAATATGTTCAAGGACTGAGCGTCAACAGCCCTTTGGGGTAGTGAGTTCCATACATGCACTACCCTTTGAGTGAAGAAGTTCTTCCTCAACTCAGTACGAAAGGGCTGGTCTCTGATTTTAAGGTTGTGACCCCTGGTTTTAGTTTCTCCAACCAGGGAAACAATCTCCCACTATCTACTCTATCATGCCCTTTGACGATCTTATAGGTTTCTATAAGATCTCCTCTAATTCTTCTATATTCTAGAGAATATAGGCCCAAATTGGTCAGCCTATCCTCGTAACTCATCTCCTTCATCCCTGGTACTAACCGAGTAAATCTACGCTGCACCCCCTCCAAGGCAAGTACATCCTTCCTTAAATAAGGAGACCAAAACTGCACACAGTATTCCAGGTGTGGTCTCACCAGGGACCTATACAGTTGCAGCAAGACTTCCCTACTCTTACACTCTAATCCTTTCATAATGAATGCTAACATACCCTTCGCCTTCCTAATTGCTGCTGCACCTGCAGACTAACTTTCTGTTAATTCACATTACAGTATGTTCTATGAAGCGCTTTGAGATATTTAGGAGATGTGAAAAGTGCTATATCAAATGCAAGGATTATTATTTATTTATAACCAGCTAAAACCGAATAGCTTGCCATGATAGCACTGCCTAGCAAGCTTTCCCGCTGCTTGTCCAGCCAGGACCACCATACCTGTTAGGGTTTTGGCTTGTAGGGTTAACAGGAGCTGAGGGGGATGATTCCCTATCCCCATTATCTGATTGATAAACTACATAATGAAACTCACATCAATTCCAGGGTTGCAGGCAGCACCCATTGGCATTCATGAGAAACAAGCACTCGCTCCATTAGGGTTTTATATTGTAGATAAAGGCTGACCACCATCTCCCTTTGAACTTTAGATATATATATACACACACACACAGGGACAATTACACTTGCAAATGGGAGAGGGCGGTGTGTGTGTAGAGAGAGAGTGTCCATGGGTTGTTAATGGACGTGTTGCTCAGCTCCCAGGCGCTGTAGTGTTTGTTGCAATGGAAATTGCACGAACTTTACAGCCTTTTGGCTGTATGACCATTCAACAAGTTGATGCTGGAGTTTATACTCCACATGAGCCTTCCTCTTCCGCCCCATCCAATGCCCTCTCCCATTGCCCTCTACCCGCTTTTGTTTGTCAGACTGGATCAGTTTAGTATGTCCAAAGTCGCGCTCTCCCAATCATAACATTAGTTCTATATTTGGCAGCTGATCTGATATTTTCATTGAGGCTGTGAAACGGGGCCAGTTGAGTATTACAAAAACTCCTGACACTTGCATATCTGATCCTGATTTAACAGCTGCCAGCCTGAGCCTTTGGCCACAGAGACGATACCATTTTTGGATTGTGCTGATATTACCAATCTACAACCAACACCCTGTGCGTCAGCCTGGCTCAGTAGTAGTGCTCTTGCCTCTGAGTCAGAAGGTTGTGGATTCAAGACCCACGTCAGGACTTGGAATCACATAGTCTAAACTAACACTCCAGTGCAGCGCTGGGTGTTGCATGGTCGGAAGTGCTGTCCTTCAGATGAGGTGTTAAAACCGTAAGAGCTCTGTGACAACGTCCGGCTTGAAAGGTGTTATATAAATGAAAGTTGCTGTTATTTTTGTAAACCGAGGACCCATCTGTGCCTGTTGAGGTGGGTGTTAAAGATGCCATGGCACTATTCGAAAAGAGAAGGGAGTTTCCCTTTCCCACCATCCTGGACAACAATCCCCAAATAAAATTGGTTCACTTCATGGGTGTTTGTGGGACATTGCGGTGCGCAGTTTTGCTCACAAAATATACAGAAATACAAAATATTCTGTGAAGAGTTTTAAGACGTCTCAATGACATGGATAAGGTGACATGGATAATATTAATCTGTCATTAATTAGTCTAACTCTTGTTTCTGGGGCAGAGGACTGTGGGATTGAGCCCGAACCCCAAGACTTGAGTTGATAGTGTAGGCTGACACCCCAGGGCAGTGCTGGGGGGAGTGCTGTGTTGCAAGTGACGCTTTTCAGGCGATAAATTGAGGCAAGATCCAGGCTGCCTTTCAAGTAGACATTAAAGTTCTTGTGACGTGATTTGGAAGAAAATCATAGTTTCTGCCGGTGTTCTGAACAACACTCACGTTTGCCTAAAAAGAGATCACTTGGTCATTCCTCTGACTGCCGTGTCGAGGTTCCTCCTGCAGATTAGCTGCTGCATAAATCACAACAACAATAACAACAACAAGATTCCATTTATAGAGCGCCTTTCACGTCGGGAGGACGTCCCAAGGCGCTGGACACTTGGGTCAGGACGCGAGCGGGGGGGGAAATGGTCAGGGGGAGGGGAGGGAAGGGAGGGAGCGAGGAGGGGGTAGAGAGTCGAGAGGGGAGCTGAAGGCTCGGTCAAAGAGAAAGGTCTTGAGACCGGCCTTGAAGGAGGAAAGGGAGGAAGCGGCGAAGGCACTGGGGGATGGAGTTCCAGAGCCTCGGGGCTGAGAGGCTGAAGGCCCGGCCACCGATGGTAGGGCGGTTGGGGCGGGGGATGTGGAGCAGAGGAACGGAGCGGACTTCAAAGCAAATTAACAACAGCAGCAAAAACAACAAATTGCATTTATACAGCGCCTTTCACATAAAGAGGACGTCCCAAGGTGCTGTACAGTGAAGTGTTGCACCCGAGTTGGGGGCTGGAGTCAAGTAGGGAGGTGGAGGTAGGAAGATGACCGAAGGCGTGGTCAAAGAAGAAGGTCTCAAGATGGACCTTGAAGGAAGCAAGGGAGGTGGCGAGGCAGAGATGCTCTGGAATGAAGTTCCAGGAGGGTAGGGGCAGAGTTGCTGAAGACCTGACCACTGATAGTGGGATGGGCAGGGCGGGGGACATGGAGCAGGTCAGTTCCCCCCCCCCCCGAGCGGAGGGAGTGGACGGGTTGCTGAAGTTTTCGTAGGTCGCAAAGGTAGGGAGGGGCAAGACCGTAGAGAGTTTTAAAAATTAGGAGAATTAACGTTAAAAGATTTTGAAACAGAAATTGCAGTCAAAGAATTCAGTCTGCAGGTGGGATTTGGAAAGAGAGAGAAAGGGTGAGGTGGAGGGATTCACACCCACGAATACTCTCTAGTTGTGGGGGGCGGGGGGAGGGGGGATGAGGGGACGGACCGATCAGCTGAGGGGGTATCACAGGAGATCAGGATAAGTTGCTGCAAGGTCCGGGAGGTATTTGAAAGTGAGGAATAGGATCTCAAAGTTGATCTATTGTGGACAGGAGGATGGTGTGATGGGCTTGCGGAGCCTAGTGCAGGAGAGGGTATGGGCTGCAGAGCTCTTGTGTGACGTGAGGGTTGTGAAAGGTGGGGTGGGAGAGGCCAGAGAGCAGGATATTGGAGCCGTCATGTCCGGAGGTGACCTAGGAGTGCGTGAGGGTATCGGGAGCATTGGAGGTGAGACGGTGATGGAGACGTGCGATGTGTTGGCGGAAGAAAGCGGATTCGGTCAGAGCCTGGACGGAAGCTGTGAAAGGACAGGTGAGGGTCCGTCAAGGTTCTGCATAAGCTCTGCGATTTGGAGTCGTCAGCAGCAGTGCGGAGTGGGGTGGGGTGGGGGGGGGGGGGCGGGGGGTTGAAATCCTGTGACCTGCTTTGCTGCTGCCGTTGTTGCTGTTAGTCTGTAGAAGAAGCGGGCGTCACGAGATTCAGTGATGGTGTCTTGATGCGGTTCCAGTTGCGCTCCACCGGAGGGCAGCACATGGCCATCCGGGGTGGGGGGGGGGGGGGTGGGGGGGGGGGTGTCACACCAACAGCGGCCGCGGCCATAGCAGCAGCCGGTGGGATGAGTTGGTGAAGCTGAGGCTCAGCTTCTCTTCGACCGTGCCTTCAGCTCCCCTCTCGACTCTCTACCCCCTCCTCCCTCCCTCCCTCCCTCCCTCCCTCTCTCCCTCCCTCCCTCCCCTCACCTCACCCTGACCATTGCCCCCCCCCACTGCTCGGGTCCCGACCCAACTGCTCAGCGCCTTGGGACGTCCTCCCGACCGTGAAAGGCGCTCTATAAATGCAATGTTGTCGTCGTTGTTTATTTACTCGGATTATGCCACGGGATAATACTGTCGTCCTTCACAATCCTTCGCATTTGATGCAGCGCCTCACCGTGCCTTCGAGACGTCCCAAAGCGCTTCACGGAGTCTACTGTAAAGCGCCGTGACTGCGTGTTTTGCAGGCGAAAAAACGCGGCAGCCAATCGGGCGCAGCAGCGTCCCACAAAAACAGCCGCGAAGCAAGCGGGTGACCGGGAGAGAGAAACTCCCTTTTCTTTTCGAATGGTGCCGCGCGGGACAGATCCAGACGGGACCTCAGGTTTGAAGGTTGGTGGGCAGGCGGGTGGTCCAGTGGGGAGTGGGTGCTCACCGTAAGCACTGGAACTCGAACTGACCGCACCAAACGCACAACTTTGAAGACCCGCGGTGTGGTGGTTAGAGCGCTCGCCTCACAAGCGGGAGGACCCGGGTTTGATTCCGGAGCAGGGGGCCGAACCGTGGACACGTTTCTTATGCTCCACGCGCCTGTTCACCTCGCAGTAAGTAGGTTGTTAAGCGATTTGGCGGATCACTTTATAATAATAATAATAATAATCCTTGCATTTGATATAGCGCTTTTCACGTCGGGAGGACATCCCAAAGCGCTTCACAGAATAGACTGTAAAGTGAATTGACTGTATATTTGTGGGCGAACGCGGCAGCCAATTGCGCACAGCAATGCCCCACAAACAGTCGTAGATTGAAAATGACCAATTTATTATTGTTTTTGGTTTTGGAGGGATTATTATTAGGCTCTGTGTGGAGTAAGGAAACTTGCCCAAGGTTTCGCCCTCTGCCTGGAATTGAACTCAGGTCTCTCACTTGCAAAGCGAGTGCTCTAACCACTGAGCTACAGGACTCCACGGGAGCAATAATAATCTCTTCTTAGGAAACAAATTTGGGTCACTTAATCTACGACTGTTTGTGAGGAACTGGCTGCCAGGTTTCGCCCACGGTGTTTTCTGTGAAGCGCTTTGAGACGTCTCGTCTGGGCGATAAGGCGCTGTATCAAATGCGAGGATTATTATTAAAACTTTTAACGAACTGCGACCAAAGCCTCAGCCGTTGACATTATTGCTATTCACGGCTGCACCATTCACCTGTGAAACTTCGGTGTCCGTTTTGACCCTCAGCTATCCTTCAAACCCCACACTTGTTCCGCGACCCGTTCGCCTTTACCCACCTCCGCAACATTGCCTCTGCCGCTGCCACTCACCGCAGGCCATTGAGACCTTAACCCACACTGCCATCGCGTCCCAGCTTGACAACGCCAACTGCCTGCTTGCTGGACTTCCCAACTCTTCCCTCGAAAGGGAAACGGACACAAGCTGCAGATTATTCGAAACTCTGCAGCTCTGTGTCCTCTCCTGGACCAGGCTCCGTGAACCAGTCACCCCCATTCTTGCCCGGCTTCACTAACTCCCCGTCCCTCAGAGAACAAAACCCTGGTTCTCACCTTCAAAGCCCTCCCCGGTCTTGCTGCCCACTATCTCTCCGACCGCAATCCCTCTGCCTCACCCCCTCTCTTGCCCCCTTCAAGTCCTGTCTAAAAACCTTCCTCTTCGACCGTGCCTTTGGCCACACTCCCACTCCCTCTGCCTTCCACCCCTCCTGACCCCAAGGGTAATTATCCCTTCAAAATAATAATGATTTGGTCGCTCGATCCACGACTGTTTGCGGGACGCTGCTGTGTGCAATTGGCTGCCGTGTTTCGTCCACAAAATATACAGCCAATTCACTTGACAGTATATTCTGTGAAGTGTTTTGGGACGTCCTGAAGACGTGATAAGGCGTGATATCAAGTGCAAGTATTATTAAATCATGAGCTCAAGAAGGTCCAATGGAAAACATGCAGAGGGTTAAATGTCCAGCGAGCATTGAGGTCAGCGAGAGAGAGAGAGAGAGAGAGGAGGGAGGAGGCTGTGAACTAAGGATAAAGGTGAAACCTGCTCAGCTTGGAGCGTTTCTGTTTCTCGGGTCCAAAAAAACCCTGGCTGTCCGGCGCCCTGGGACGTCTTTCCGACGTGAAGGGCGCAATCCAAGGATAATTTGTCGTCGTTGGACTTTCTTACACAATCTTAAGAACAACAACAACAACAACAACAAGATTCCATTTATAAAGCGCCTTTCACGTCAGGAGGACGTCCCAAGGCGCTGCACAGTTGGGTCATGACCCGAGGAGGGGGGAAATGGTCAGGGGGAGGGAAGGGAGGGAGCAAGGAGGGGGAAATGGTCAGGGTGAGGGGAGGGAAGGGAGGGAGCGAGGAGGAGGAAGAGAGTCGAGAGGGGAGCTGAAGGCTCGGTCAAAGAGAAAGGTTTTGAGACCGGCCTTGAAGGAGGAAAGGGAGGAAGCGGCGAAGGCACTGGGGGATGGAGTTCCAGAGCCTGGGGGCTGAGAACGGTGTCTTTGTGCAGTTACCCGCGCACACCACCGGAGGGCGACAGAAGTCCATTCTGCAATCGGACACCGACCAGAAGACGCTCATCCCATCCACGTTGTCAAGCAACGAGCAGTGGAGCCTTCATGGACTCCCAATTGTTGCCGTGGCATCTTTAATCTCTGTCTGAACAGTCATCGGCAGGTTTTACGTCTCATCCGAAGGACGGCGTCTCCGACGAAGCATCGCTCCCTTAAGCGTCAAATTCTCAACCAAATAACGTGTGGAGCACTCTTGTATTTTAGGTTTCCAATTACACAATCCAACGCACCCTCTACTCCGTCCTCTCTCCTTCCTGATCTCCTTCCATTGGTCCTATTCAATTGGTCCTTATTTGTTAATTAGTATACAAACTTAGCCTTAGCTGCCTTTGCCCAAGATACAAATATTAAATGACACAAATATTATCGAGACCGGACTATCACGGCCCACGTGGTAGTCAAAAGGACACAGAAGGAAATCAAAGAGGACCGGCAAAGCATAGTTGAACGGCACAATAGATGAACACAAGGAGAGAAGAAATTAAAATGGAGAGGACTGGTGTTCCCATCACGACATCCACCAAAGGCACATCAAGCACTAAATCAACCCACGGTCATACATAGTGAAGGACACTTGTTACGATCGGAAGTGAATTTATTTGAATGTTTCAGATCACATGTAAATTAATAAAAATGTTTGAGTTAAGTTAACGTATGCTTATACTTAAAAGAAGGGCCAACGATATGTTTCCTCTGACAGGTGGGTTGTTAACTAGAGGACACAGATTTAAGATAATTGGCAAAAGAATCAGAGGGGAGACGAGGAGAAATTGTTTTTACCAGTGAGTTACGATCTGGAATGCACTGCCTGAAAGGGTGGTGGAAGCAGTTCCATAATAACTTTCAAAAGGGAATCGGATATTTACTTGGAAAGAAAAAAAATCAAGGCTATAGAGAAAGAGCGGGAGAATAATAATAATCTTTGCATTTGATACAGTGCTATATCACCTCTTTTGAGATGTCTCAAAGTGCTTCGCAGAATATGCTGTAAAGTGAATTGACGGTATATTTTGAGGGCGAAACACAGCAGCCAATTGCGTACAGCAGTGTCCTACAAACAGTGAATTGACTGTATTTTGTGTGCAAAATGTGTCTATATATCCTGTTAAATGCTTTGACATGTCTCAACGTGGGCGAAACGCGGCAGCCAATTGCACAAAACTGCCCCACAAACAGTCGTGGATTGAGTGACCAAATTATTACTATTAATTTTTTTAAGGGATTATTAACCCTGGAAAGTGGTTATTATTATTAATATTAAGGTGGATTCCAGATATACAAACTTGAACTTAAGTTAATGCCTTCCAGAGGTGTTGCCTCCAAGCCTCAAGAGTTTTCCCGTCAGCTATCTGGTGGATATCGCTTTTCTGGGGTAATTATCCCTTCAAAATAATAATAATTTGGTCGCTCAATCCACGACTGTTTGCGGGACGCTGCTGTGTGCAATTGGCTGCCGTGTTTCGTCCACAAAATATACAGCCAATTCACTTTACAGTATATTCTGTGAAGTGAAGAGGTGATAAGGCGTGGTATCAAGTGCAAGTATTATTAAATCATGAGCTCAAGAAGGTCCAATGGAAAACATGCCGAGGGTTAAATGTCCAGCGAGCATTGAGGTCAGCGAGAGAGAGAGAGAGAGAGAGAGAGAGGGGGGGGGGGAGGCTGTGAACTGAGGATAAAGGTGAAACCTGCTCAGCTTGGAGCGTTTCTGTTTTATTGTTAATGGTGACATTTCGTCAGACTTTGCGGTTTGCCTGCCTGATCAGTTTAAAGGCACCTGGACTACATTTACACCACCCGAGGGCGAAAAGGGCGGCATTTAAAAACAGATTTCAACCATTCCTTGTCCCTTCACCTTTAAGGGGAGTGTGAAGCACAGAGTTGGCACACCCGCGCACAGCTTCCTGACTTGACTACGTGCTCTCCTCACGCTCACTCAGTGGAGCAGTGCTTTGGAGAGCAGATGTGATCCAGGTGTTTGACATTCTGAAGGGAGAGAAGAGAAGGTGAGCAAAGAAAAATCTCTGAAGCCGTTGTTTTGGGGAATGGAGGAGGAGGGGGTGTCGGGATTGTTAGCAGAGAACTCGGGGCCAGGTGAGAGGGAATCTCGTCAAGCGCCTCGAGCCTCAACCCCGGGAAAAGGGCGCTATATAAGTGCAAGTTGTCGTCACTCAGAGGCCGGTCAGGGTTTGGAATTCATTCCCACGAGCGTCGATCGAGCCCGGATCAATAGAACGCTTCATAACCATAGAGCAGGGACTGAGCGAGCTGTAGCTTAGCAGTTGGAGCCCTCGCCTCTCAAGCAAGAAGACCCAGGTTCGTTTCCTGGGTGCCGCCAAACCTCAAGCAATTTTCCTTACTCTGTTTACCCAGCAGTAACTAGCGGTTTGTTAGTCGATCGGCGGATCGCTTTCCGGGGGAGCAATAATCCCTTTTTTTCTAAAAAAAATGTAGTCACTCAATCCACGACTGTTGGTGGGACACCTCTGTGTGCAATGGGTTGCTGCGTTTCGCCCACAAAACACATCGTCGATCCACTTTACAGTATATTCTGTGAAACGCTTTGAGTCATCTCGACAAGGTGCTGTATCAAATACAAGGATTATCGTCATGATTATTACTAATTCGGTGGAAACCAGAGGCAGGAGTGGAGAGACCAATTGAATGCCCAGTGTCTAGGTGACTAGTGAGAGAGTCTGTGTTGTGTTAAAGCGCTCTGAGAGGCCGTCTGGAGTGGAGGGAGCTATATAAATCCAAGTTGTTGTTGTTGTGTTCCTAACTGATTTCCTTCTCTGCTTCCTATGGCCCCAGGTTTGAATGATGTGGCTGCTGGCTTGTTGGATACTGCCGTTTCTGAGGTGTGTGGCATCAGGTAAGGCCCTGATCTGGTCTCCGTACGGCTCGTCTACTTGTGTCCCAGGGTCGGTTGTGAGAATGGGAGATGGACAGTGTAGAGCGAAGTTCGCAGCAGGAAAACATGTGTGTGTGTTTGTGAGTAGGAGGGCAATGTCCCCATTTAGTTAGATACTGCTAATCAGTTAAAGGCACCTCGACTATATTTACACCATCAAAAGTGGGAGGTGGTGGGGGGGGGTGGGGGGGGTGAGGAGCTGGGGGTGGGGGGGGGTGGTGGGAGGCATTTAGTAACAGGTTTGATATTTATGTGGTTTTAGCTGGTTAGTCTCTAGCAGTTTGGCAACGGTCTCCCCAGTTCCACTATCCGCACAATCCAAACTAATTCAGATCTCCCACGCTCATATTCTCACTCACACTAAACCCCCCTCTCTCTCTATCTCCCTCTCTATCTCTCTCGCTCTCTCTCAATCTCTCTCTATTTCTCCCTCTCTCTATCTCTCTATCTCTTGTTCTCCATCTCCGTCTCTCGCTATCTCCCCCTCTCTATCTCACTCGCCACCCCCGCCCCCAACACTACCGTGGTTGAGCAGAATCCTCACGGTGTGCTCTCTCTTTCTCTCTCTCTCTCTCTCCCACCACCCCTCCCCGGTTGAGCAGAGCCCGTGGAGGAGGAGTGCCCCCGCTTCACGGAGCTGTCGGTGACGGATACTCTGGTGGGCACGGAGCTGAAGGTCCGGCTGCTGCTCTACACTCGCGCCAACGAAACGTGTCCCACCCTGATCACCGCCAATAACTTGGGCCCCATGAACCTGACCAAGAAGGTGGTCTTCCTCATCCACGGCTACCGGCCCTTTGGCTCCAAGCCCAAGTGGCTGAGCAAAATGGTGAAGAGCTTACTGGATGTGGAGGACATCAACTTGATCGTGGTGGATTGGAACCGGGGAGCTACTACCATCAACTATATCGTTGCCGCCGGTAACACCAAGAAGCTGGCCGTCAAGCTCAAACCCGTAGTTGACCGTATCCTGGTGAGGACCTCAACTAATCCAGGCCATTTGTGTAGTCCTGTAAGCTCAGTGGTTGGACCACTCGCCTCGCAAGCGGGAGACCTGGGTTTGATTCCCAGGCAGGGCAAAATGTTGGGCAAGTTTTCCTTACTCCACACGCTTCTGTTTACCCAGCGGTAAGTAGGAACCCGGTTGTGTTTTGAGATGTCCCAACGATGTGGTAAGGCAATGTACCAAATGCAAGGATTATTATTACGCTGACGATTATTTATGGATTATTATTATGATGATAATTTATGGAATTCTCTACCCCAGAAGGTTGTGGGTGCTCTGTCATCGAACATATTCACGACTGAGATCGATAGATTTTTAAAAACTAAAGGGATTAAGGGATATGGGGAAAGGGCAGGTAAATGGAATTAGGTTAGAAGATCAGCCGCCGATCTTATTAAATGGCGGGGCAGGCTCGAGGGGTCGAATGGCCTACTCCTGCTCCTATTTCTTATGTTGTTATTATAATTATCATTGCTTCTGGTGTTGACTGTTTCTCTGTTATCCTGGTCCCCAGACAGACACGGGCTCGCTGGATTCTGTTCACATGATTGGCGTCAGCCTGGGTGCACATGCAGCCGGCTTCGTGGGCAGTATGTTTCATGGAAAAATCGGTCAAATAACGGGTAAGAATTTGACCAACCACTTGCTTCGCACCCATCACTGCGCTGCAAAGCCGCGATCGGAATCCTGGGCCAATCTTGCCTCGCAAGTGAGAGGACCCGGGTTCGATACCCTGGCGGGGCGAAACCTTAGGCAAGTTTCCTTACTCCACACTTCTTTGTTTACCAGGCAGTAACTTGGAACTCAGTTGTTAGTCGATTGGCGGATCACTTTCTGGGTGTAGTAATCCCTCAGAAAAAAATGTTGGCACTCAATTCACTACTGTTTGTGGGACACCGCTGTGCACAATTGGTTGGCGTGTTTTGCCCGCAAAATATACGGTCAATTCACGTCACAGGATATCTTGTGAAGTACTTTGTGACGTCTTGAAGACATGAAAAGGTGCTATATCAAATGCACGGTTTATTATTATTATTAAAACTACGTCATTGCCACTCAAAAAACATATAACAATGACTACACTCTTTTTGTCATTTGGTTATTCAGATGAGTATCATTTTACATGATTATTTCAAGTGAATATTCAAATGGCCTGACTGTAGACTATAGACTCCACACAATGCTTTTAAATAGCCATGCACATGTTCTCTGTGAGCAAATTGCCAGCAGGAATTATCTGAGACACGTGCTTTCTGCTGAAGCTGAGACGACTGTGAACAACACTGAGGCAATCCACTTTACAGTATATTCCGTGAGGTGCTTTGATAAGTCTCGGTGGCATGATAAGGCGTTGCATCAAATAATCCTTGCATTATTGCAAGTGCCCTTGCAAATACCTCAAGTTACGAAACAAAATGCATCCCATGGAGCACATTAGAAATTTCACATCGCAACATGTTTGAAGTTACGTTTTAGATCGAGAGTTTTGATTTAATAATTCGAACATAAATAACGTGATTAATTATTTTAATCAGGTCTGGATCCGGCTGGTCCACAGTTCACTAACACTCCTCCCGAGGAGAGACTTGACCCGACCGATGCCAAGTTTGTTGCTGTTCTTCACACGGATATGGATGGTAACGTTCTTCATGCCCTTTGTCACTGCTTTTTCCACATCTCTCTAGATCAGTGTGGTCCACAATCTTCTGGCTGCTGAGGGCCGGATGCCCTATTTGAGAAACATCCGTGGGCCGCATAAGCAATATTCTTGTGGTTTCCTTCCGGAAACATAACGTGACACAACATTTACGGGTTATGCAGGGAGCGCCGGGCCGGATGAAATAATAATAATCCTTGCGTTTGATATAGCGCCTCATCACATCTTTGAGACGTCTCAAAGCTCTTCACAGAATATACTGTAAAGTGAATTGACTATATTTTCTGGGCGAAACGCCGCAGGCAATTGCGCACAGCAGTGTCCCCACAAACAGTCGTGGATTGAAGTGACCAATTCATTATTATTTTACGAAGGAATTATTATCCTCGGAAAAGCATTCCGCCAATCGACTAACAACCGGGTTCCTAATTACTGCTTGGTAAAACGAGGCGCATGGAGTACGGTAACTTGCCTAATGTTTCGCCTTGCCCCGGGAATCAAACCCGGGTCTCTTATTTGTGAGGCGAGTGCTCTAACCACTGAGCTACAGGAGAGACTCTATACTGGAGGGAGGGGTTGGGGGTCCTGGCAGTTGGACCACGCTGCTTCCGATCATTACAGTTTATCCGCTTGTAGGAAGGTGTGTGTCCTGCCTGAAAAACAAAACTAACACCAAGGGGTTTAATAACAAAAAAAGAAAGCTTTATATCTGGATAAGGTTTATTTGAATCGGAAGCTATTGCTATTTACAGCCGTCTTCTCCAGATTATGCCCTCCTGCCTGTAGCGCCCCATATATTGGTGGTCGGTCATTCACTAACCGATTACTGGCGCCCAATTTAGCACTTGGGGCTGGAACACCAAAGAGGTCTGATTGCAGTCCTGCCCGGGTTAGCTTCCTGGATTGAGGCACCTTTTTTTAAACGAGTCACAAACAATAACAACAACAACAAGCTCCTTTACACATAAATGGAGCGTCAATAATCATAGAAAGCAGGGATAGGGTTTATCCTCGCATCACGCCACTTCATCATGAAAATCAGATTAGAAGAGCAACTGTTTTGTTTGCAAAGGACTTTAACATTTTTGCAAACAAATCTTTGATCCTTTTTTTCAGGGAATGAGATAGTCAATGTGCACAAGCCCTCTCCCCCCCCCCCCCCCCTCCCACCCACCACACACACACACACGCACACACACACAGCCATGAGGTGAATAACAAACCAACCAGCAAACAAATTACATTTACGGGTTATGCAGGGATCCGAGCCGAGGCCTAGAGTCAGGTTGGTAAAGTTTTAGCAGGTCACAGAGGTAGGGAGAGGCAAGGCCGTGGAGGTGCTTTAAAGGCGAGGATGAGGATTTTGAACTCTATTCTCTGGGGGATGGGGAGCTAGTGGAGCCGAGTGAGGATGGGGGTGATAGGCTGGGGGAGACTGATGCGGGAGAGGACACGAGCTGCAGAGTTTTGAATAACCTGCAGCTTTTGGGGTGAAGATTTGGGAAGTCCTGTGGGCAACCAATTTATCTGGAAGATCGTTGGCCAGAAGAAACTCCCTACTCTTTTCCAATAAATCCCTTATCTTGTTATAGGCTCTTTAATGTCAGCCTTGGCTCTATAGTCTCATCCAAAGGTCAATGTAGCGCTCTCTCTCCCCCACAACTGCTGAGAACTCCAACACGCGGCTACAAACACAACTTGCAAACACAACCATCTGACCCAAATGCGAGAGTGCGAGTGGGCTGAGCCAGGCTGAGACATTCTCCCATTGAAAAGTTTTGAAGTGCTTTACACTAATTACTGTTGAAGTCTAATGACTTGTTGTCTTAATACAGCTTTGGGTTTCCGGGAAGTTTTGGGGCACATTGATTACTACCCCAACGGAGGCAAAGATCAACCTGGATGTCCTGCCACCATATTAAAAGGTATTTTATTAATAATAATAATCCTTGCGTTGGATAAAACGCCTCATCACTTTGTCGAAACTGTGTACTTTGTGGGCGAAACGTGGCAGGCAGCTTGCACACAGCAGTGTCCCACAAACAGCCATGGAATAAGTGACTCGTTTTATTTGGGGGATGGTTGGCCAGGACACCGGCAGAGAGAAAATTGAATAGCACCATGAGGTCTTTAACAGCCACCTGACCAAGCAGATAGGGCCTTAATTTAATGTCTCATCGGAAGGATGGCATCCCTGACAATTTCGGGGTAACTGCTGGAGTCTAAACAATGAAAACTGAATAGCTTGCCAGTTGGCTATAGAGAAATACTGTAAAATGAATTGGCTGCGTATTTTGTGGGCAAGGCATAGTAGCCAATTGCGCACAGCAGTGTCCCACAAACACTCATGGATTGAGTTACCAAATTATTTTTTAAAGGGATTATTACTCCCGGAAAGCGATCCGCCGATCGACTAACAACCGGGTTTGCTCCACACTGCTAGGCAAACAAAGAGGCGTGTGGGATAAGGAAACTTGCCTAAGGTTTCACCCTGCCCAGGAATTGAACCCTAGTCTTCTTACTTATGACACTGTCTTACACCACAGGCCGTTGAAACCCTCATACACGCCTTCATTACATCGAGGCTCGACTGTGCAAACTCACTGCTTGTCAGCCTCCCCAAACCCTCCCTCCACAGGCTGCAGATCATCCAGAACTCTGCAGCCTGTGTCCTCTCCCGCACTAGGCTCCATGACCCTATCACCCCCATCCTTGTCCAACTCCGCTGGCTTCCCATCACACAGAGGATACAGTTCAAGATCCTGGTCCTCACCTTCAGAACCCTCCACGGTACACTACCTCTCCAACCTCCTAATCCCCTAGCATCCTGTTCGCTCCCTGCGCTCAGCGGGCTCCGGCCTGTTTGACCTTCAAGATCCATCTCAAGATCCTCTTCTCCGACGTGAAAGGCGCTTTACAAATGTAATGTTGTGGTTGTTGTTACACAGGAAAGGCGTACGTGATCTGTGACCATCAGCGGTCTGTCTACCTCTACATGAGTTCCATGTCGTCCTGTAATTTCACCGTCTACCCGTGTCCCTCCTACAAACAATTCCTCAACGGAGAATGCATGGTGTGCAACGGAACCTGTCCTATATTTGGTAAGCAAACTTATAATAATTCTTGCATTTGATATATCACCTTATCACATTGTATTTGTGGGAAAAACTGGGCACCTCATTGTGCCATAGCAATATCCCACAAACAGTCATGGATTGAGTGACCGTTCACCATCCAAGAATGCACACTCCACCTCCCTGAGCCAGTCTGGAACCTCGGCATCTCATTTGACCCTCAACTCTCCTTTCTACCCCACATCTGTGCCATGACCCGCTCTGCCTTTCTCCACCTATGCAACATCGCCCGGCTCCGCCAGTGTTTCACCCCTCAGGCCACCAAAACTTTCATCCAGCATTCATCACATCTAGGCTCAACTACGCCAACTACCTGCTTGTTGGCCTTCCCAACTCTTCCCTCCATAAGCTGCAGATCATCCAGAATTCTGCAGCTTGTATCCTCTCCCATATCAGTCTACGAGACTACATTACCCTCGCCCGGCTCCACTGGCTTCCCATCCCCCAGAGGATATTCCCAGAGATGTTTTATATTATTTTAATATAGCTATTATATATTTTATAATTATGCACCTCTTTCCCTTGCTGCACCGTCTTCCTTAACAGAATTCTCACTCTGTTCCCTCCTCACGCTGCTGGGCTCTCTGCTCAAATGAAGGCTCTCGCAAGTCTTGCCCTTCAGATAGGACTCAAACAAAAGCACCTGTTCGACTGTCAGCAAATTTATTAATCCCCAACACATTAGAATACATCAGAATGTACACACAGAAACAGGCCATTCGGCCCAACTGGTCTATGCCGGTATTTATACTCCACATGAGCCTCCTCCTGCCTTTCCTCAACTAAGCCTTCAAGCATAACCTTCTATTCCTTTCTCCCTCATGTACCTATCCAGCTTCACTTTAAATACATCTATGCTATTTACCTCCTTGTGATAGCATGTTCCACATTCCTACTACTCTCTGTGTAAAGTCATTTCTTCTGACTTCCCCATTTGATCTATTTGTGATTATTTTATATTGATGACCCTGGCCTATGATTAACTGCTAATCGACTTGTTTGCCTGCTTACATGTAAGGTTGCCTCTACCTCAAGAAAGATTTCCCACACTTCTGGTGAATGACAGAGTTCTCTCTTACCCTCTGGTATCTCTCTTGCAAAAGAATTCCCACTCTCACCAAATTCCTTAAAAGAATTCTAACTCAGTTCCCTTCTCACGCTGCTGGGATCGCTGCTCAAGTGAGGCTCTTGCCAGTCTTGCCCTTTATATAGGACTCAAACAAAAGCGCACAGTTTGACTGGTCAGCAAATTTATTCATCCCTAAAACCTGGCCTATGATTAACTGCTGATTTACTTGTTTGCCTGCTTGCATATAAGGTTGCCTCTAACTCAAAAACGATTTCCCACGGTTATGCTTACCCTCTGGTATCTCGCTTGCTAAAGAATTCCCACTCTCGCCAAATTCCTTAACAGAATTCTCACTCTGTTCCACCTCACTCAGTTCCCTCCTCATGCTGCTGGGCTCTCTGCTCTGGGACATGGAGAGGGAGTGATTGTTTGTTCCTGTCTGAGTGGTGTTATATTACCCTTCATCTTTCTTGTCTGTCCCAAACCAAAACCCAACAGGTTACCACGCGAAGCCAGTGACACTTTCCCAGTCTGCGGTGTACTTTCTGACAGCCAGCAGCGATCCCTTTTGCAGTGAGTGTTTTTATTAAAAGTTTCCTTCGCTCTAAGTAATGTCGTGTGAGTGTGAGCAAATGCAGACTATGGGACATGAAGAGGTTACACATCCTCGTTCACAATTTCCATCAATTGTGAGGAGGGCAGGGAGAGGAGGGCAGGGAGAGGGACGAGAGAGCGAGGGGGGGAGAGCGAGGGGGGAGAGCGGTGGGGGCGCGCGGGGGGGGGGCGCGAGTGGGGAGCGAGGCGGGGCGAGAGAGTGGGGAAGGTGGGAGAGGAGGGCGGGAGAGGAATGGGGGAGGGTGGTAAAGGAGGGGTGAGAGGGGGGATGGTGGGAGAGGAGGGGAGAGAGGGGGCGAGAGTAGGGACGGTGGAGAGTAGGGAGGGAGGGAGAGTGCGGGAGGGTGGGGAGGGGGAGAAGGTGGGGAGATAAGGGAGAGGAGTGGGGGGTAGAGAGGGAGATGGAGGAGGGGGAGAGGGACGGGGTGGGAGAGATGGGTGGGGGAGAGAGTGCCTGTGTTTGAGATGCCAGACACCGGGACCACAATTTGAAGTGAAATATAAAAAGAGTCCGGAAGGAAACGTGGGTGAAAGTCCGTCTTAAAAACGGAACCCCGTTTTATTCTTACCCCACAAATGTTGTGTGAGAACGTGCTCGCGCGCTCTCTCCCCAGCGCACTCTTACATGATGGACATCATCGCCTGGAACCAGAATGCCCGGGAGGGTTACCTGACCATCGAGCTAACGGGAGATTCTGCAACAGTGACGTCCGACGTAAAACAGTAAGTGGGGTCCAGCAGGCACAGAAACGGTGGTCCCAGCCTCAGGGTCTCTCCCGGCTGAGCTGTCTCCCAGACGACGTGAAATGAAAGCCCGTAGCGTAGTGATTAGCGCGCTCGCCTCGCAAGCGAGAAGACCCTGGTTCGATTCTCAGCTGGGACGAAACCTTAGGCAAGTTTCCTTACTCCACACGCCTCTGTTTACCCGGCAATAAGCAGGAACCCGGTTGTTAGTCGATTGGCGGATCGCTTTCTGGGATATTCGTTTCGCCCACAAAATATACAGTCAATTCACTTTACAGTATATTCTGTGAAGAGCTTTGAGACGGAATAAACTGTAAAGTGAGTTGAATGTATGTTTTGTGAATGTACAGTACAATTCACATTAATTGCTCTTTGAGACGTGATAAGGCGCTATATCAATTGCAAGGATTACGTCTGTATTGAAGATTTCTGGAAACATTGAGAATTTTAAGACAATATTCAGGACTCGGACTGACACCTGGTCTGTTTCTGTTTCCTGTTTCTTTTAATACAGTGTTTCAAAAACGTTTGAGAGGTTCCAGGAAATCAGTCTTCTGGTGAACGTAGACAAAGACCCTGGGAATATCAGGAGTGTCTCATTGACCTACACTTCCACCAACTGGGTGGAGCCCAAGTTGCGATTTGGGCTGCTCCGAATGAGGCTGAGATCCCTCACCTTCCCTGACAGGTGAGGACACTGTGGAACGCTGCCTGCCCTCAGGAATCACTGGGGGTAGGGAATCCTCCCACTCAGCTCCTGTTAACCTTGCAAACCAAAGCCCTAACGGGTAGGGTGGTCTTAGCTGGACAAGCAGTGGGAAAGCTTGCCTGACAGTGCTCTCAATGGTGGTTTTAGCTGGTTAGACTCCAGCAGTTACTCCAATGTACATTCTGGGGTCTCCAAGCTTTGGCTCTGTGCCTAATACTTTCCGGAATTAAAAGTATTAGGAAGCGTCACTCCAGGGGGAGAGAGTGCGCATTCTATTTCCAACAAACTATCACTGGCGAGAGAGAGAGGGCAGAAAGAGGCAACAATAACTTTTACGTTTTTAGGTTTATTTTGAAGTTAGAGAGGGGAGGGTTTGAGGCGGATATTTTGGAAGGCGAACGCATAAGAGATTTCTTTACCAAATGAATCTTAGAATCATAGCACAGAAGAGGGCCATTCGGCCCTTCGTGCCTGTGCCGGCTCTTCGAAAGAGCTACCAACTAGTCCCACGCCCCGGCTCTTACCCCATAGCCCTGCAAATTCTTCCTTTTTTAATTACCAATTCAATTCCCGTTTGAAACCTATTATCGAAACTGCTTCCACCGCCCTTTTAGGTGGCGCATTCCAGACCGTAACAACTCTCTGGGTAAAAAAAAAAAATTCTCCTCGTCTCCCCTCTGGTTGTTTTGCCAATTATCTTAAATCTGTGCCCTTCAGTTACCAACCCTCCTGCCAGAGGAAACAGTTTCATCCTTAGTTAGGCATGGGGGGGTGGTGGGGTTGGGGGTGGGGGAGAGTGGGAGAGAGTGTCGGGGTGAGTGTGACCCAGAATTTGTGTTCCCTTTGTTTCAGACCTCACAAATGTCGATACGATGTGATTCTTCACAAGAGGACTCCGGTGACGTTTCAACCATTGGATTGTCAAGACCTGCAGATGTAAATGGAACATAGGAACAGGATGCAGCCCTCGAGTCTCTGCCGCCATTCTACTAGATCACGGCTGATCTGTACCTCAACTCCATTTACCCGCCTTTGCTCCATATCCCTTGATACCCTGACCTAACAAACATCTATCCACCTCAGTATTGAAAATGTGAATGGACCCACCATCCACAGACTTTTTGGGGGGAGAGAGTTCCAGATTTCCACTCGCCTTTGTGTGCAAAACTGCCTCCTGATATCATTCCCGAATGGCCTGGCTCTAATTTTAAGATGATGCCCCTGGATTCCCCCACCAGAGGAAATTGTTTCTCTGTATCTACCTTATCGAATCCCTATAATATTTTAAATAGCCTCAATCAGATCAACCCTCAACCTTCCAAAGTCAAAGGAATAGAAACCAAGTCTATGCAACCTGTCCTCGTAATTTAACCCTTTAAGCCCTGGTATCATTCTGGAGAATCTGCGCAACACCCCCTCCAGAGCCAATATATCTTTCCTGAGGTGCAGTGCCCAAAACTGAACACAGTACTACTCCAGATGGGGTCTGACTAAGGCTCTATAACAGTTGAAGCATCATTTCCTCACCTTTGTTTTCCAGGCCCCTTGAGATAAAGGCCAACATCCCATTAGCCTTTTTGATTACTTTTTGTACCTGTGAACTAGTTTTTAGTAATTTGTGTACATGGACTCTAATCCATGTTATTGCTGACCTGGGAGTGTGGACGGAGAAGGTAGAGGGAGCTTTACTCTGTCTCTAATCCAGATCAAGACTGAATGTTGAAAGGGGATAGATAGCACGCCAAACACATTCCCTCTGTCAGCGATCAATGGCAATAATTTCTTGACGAGAAATGAACAAGTATTCAGTCAGTTGGTGTCAGCTTAATCTGTTTGTTGACTGTGAATTGTAATGGAATCATGATCAACTCCACTGACAGGGCTCCTAAGTCAGCACTGAACCAAATAAATGCCTTTTATTTCAAAGGTTGACTGTTTTTTGTCTCTTATCATAATAATAATAATCCTTGCATTTGATACAGCGCCTTTGCGACATCTCAATCGCTTCACAGAATGTATAGTAAAGCGCAATGACTGTATTTTGTGGGCGCAACACAGCAGCCAATTGTGCACAGCAGTGACCCACAATCAGTGGGAGCAATTTTATTTGAAGAATTGTTATTACTTGATATAGCGCCTAATCACGTCTTCGAGATGTCTCAAAGCGCTTCGCAGAATATACTGTAAAGTAAATCGACAGTATATTTTCTAGGCGAGACGTGGCAGCCAATTGTGCACAAGAGTGTCCCACCAAACAGTTGTGGATTGAATGACCAATTTTTTTTTTTGAGGAATAATTCCCCCGGAAAAGTGATCGATCAATCGACGAAGAACCGGGTTCCTACTTATTGCGAGGTAAACAGAGGCGTGTGGACTAAGGAAACTTGCCCAACATTTCGTCCTACCAGGAATCAAACCAAGGTCTCTCGCTTGCGAGGTGAGTGCTCTAACCACTGAGCTAAAGGACTCTATAGAGGCGTGTGGAGTAAGCAAACTTGCCTAAGGTAAACAGAGGCATGTGGACTAAGGAAGCTTGCCCAATGTTTCGCCTCGCCTGGAAATCGAACCATGCGAGGCGAGTGCTCAATATCCTACATGATTCCAGAACTCCACTGACAAAAACAACAACAACTTGCCTTTTATAGGGTTCTCATGCTGGGCAGCGTCTCGGAAACTCCACTGACAAGGCTAAGTCAGTACTGAACCAAATAAGTGCCTCTGATTGCAAAGGGTCACTACTTTTTGTCTTTCCCACCTTCCCCCATGTGTTTGCTGGAGTTCAGGAGTGAGCTCACCGTTAGAACCATTGGCAAACGAGGAGAGCAATGAGGCTGATCCTGAGTGTTAGAGGAATGAGCTGTGAGCAACAATTAGAAAAGCTTAGGCTCTTCAGGCTTGAGACAGTTAACCCCAGGGATGTTGGACTGTCCACACCAGTTTCGTGTGAATTGTCCAATCATGAAACTGGTGTGGACAGTCCAACATTCCCTGGGGTAACTGTCTCAAGCCTGAAGAGCCTAAGCTTGCCTAATCGTTGCTCACAGCTCATTCCTCTAACACTAGGGATCAGCCTCATTGCTCTCCTCTGCACTGTCTCTAGGCCTGGGAAGCCCTTTATGTCACAGTGACCAGATTTGTCTGCAGTGTTCAAGGTGCGGCCTGACCAGAGCACTGTAACAGCCTGAGAGTGACATTTGAGGAGAGTATGATACCTATCTATATCTGTGTGTGTGTGTGCACGCGATTGTCTATCTGTAGCATAAACAGAGATCGCTGGGAACACTCAGCAGGTGAGGCAGCATCAATGGTGAAAGGAAAGTGGGTCAATGTTTTGGGTCCATGAAATCAACATTGACGCCAGAGGGCTGTATGGTCCTTAGCAGATAGATGAGGTGCTGTTTGTCGACCTTGCGCTGTGCTTCATTGGAACAAAGTAGGAGACGTTGGATGGAGAGGTCAGAGTGCGAGTGGGAGGGAGAGTTAAGTGGCAAACAACTGCAAGTTCAGGGTTATGTGCTCGCGGACAGGATGAAGGTGTTCGGCAAATCGATCAACCAATGTAGAGGAGACCACACCGTGAGCAGGGAACCCAGTAAACTACATTGGTGGTAGTGCATGTAAATCGCTTACGTCTCACTTGAAAACTATGTTTGTGGCCCTGGAGAGTTGTGTGGGAGGAGGTGAAAGGGCAGGTGTTGTATCTCCTGCGCTGGCATGGGAATGTGCCGGGGGGAGGAGAGCAGGTGTTAATGGTGATGGAGGAATGAACCAGGGAGTCGCAGAGGGAACGGTCTTTTTGGAACACTGAGAAGGGAGGAGAGAGGAGCGGAGACAAATATATGTTTGGTGTTTGGATCACGCTGGCGGTGCCGGAAATGGCGGAGAATTAATCGTTGGAGGCTATTGAGGCTGGTGGGGTGCATGACGAGGACTAGGGAGACCCTATCATGGTTCTGGGAAGAGGGGGAAGGGGTGAGGGCAGAGGTGCGGGAAATAGGACGGACACAGTCGAGCGTCCTGTCTACCACGATGGATGGGAATCCTCGGCCGAGGAAAAAGGAAGACGTTTCCATTGCTCTGGTATGAAAGGTGGGCATCGTCAGAGCAGATGCAGCAGAGGTGGAGGAATTGAGAAAACGAATGGAGTCTTTACAGGAGGCGGGGAGGGAGGAAGTGTGGTCCAGGTAACTGTTTGAGTTGGTGGGCTTGCAAAAGCTATCTGTGGGTAATCTATGCCCCCAAATGGAAATGGTAAAGTCGAGGAAGGGAAGAGTTGGAGATGGATCATGTGAACGTAATGGAGGGTGGGAGGTGGAAGCGAAATTGGTGAATTTTTCTTGTTCAGTGCGAGAACAGGAAGCAGCCCCAATACAGGCGTCGATGTATCTGAGGATCAGGTCAGAGAGGGGACCTAAGTAGGCCTGGAACAAAGAGTGCTATCTGTGTGTGAATATATATGTCTGCGTGTGTCTATATCTGTGTCTGTGTGTGTGTGTGTATGTCTATCTGTAAGAGATAAGAGATTCCATCACAACCGGTCACTGGCTGCTGACAGCCAAGGCTCCTGATCCAATCACAATGAAATCAGGCCTCACACAGTAATGTTTTTAGGTGCCGATTAACAAGCTTTGCTCGACTGCTTTTTAATATTCTATCACATTCTGCGATTAACTACGCTGGTCAGTGATGTCCGTCCACGCACACACTGATAGACTTCTCAATTCAGACCCCTCCCACCTCCCCTGCCATGTACCCCTGACCCCCACCACCACCCCCCCACACACGTATACACATAAACACGTAGACACAAACACACGCCAACGCCAACCGTGAATCAGTGAATCCGTCAGTCACTGGATTAATAAATCGATGAATCAATAAATCGGTGAATTGGTGGGATTAGAGCCTTGAAATAGCAATAATATTTTTTGATTTGCTATCGCGCCTTATCACGTCGTTGAGACGTCTCAAAGCACTTCACAGGATATACTGTAAAGTGTAGTGACTGTATTTTGTGGGTGAAAAGTGGCAGCCAGTTACATACAGCAGTGTCCCATGAACAACCATAGAGTGGGAGTGACCAATTTTTTATTTGGGGCATTTTCGACCAGGACACCGGGAGAAACTCCCTTCCTTCTCTTTTATAATAGCGTCGTGGGATCTTTAACGTCCACCTGAACAGGCAGATGGGATCTTGGTGTAACGTCTCATCAGAAGGACGGCACCTCTGACAGTTCAACAGTACCTGCCGCCCCCCCCCCAGCACTGCATTGAGGTGTCAGCTTAGACTATGTGATTCCAACTCCTGATGTGGGGCTTGAACCCACAACCTTCTGACTCAGAGGCGAGGGAGGGGTTTGTGACCTGGCCTCTCTCCAGCCGGGTGTAATTACTCTGATATCTGGAGATGGGAACCCACTCACCTTGAGACGCTCCATTTGTCACACAATCCATTAAGCTGGATATTCAAATCATGTTATGAACTTGCCCTTGGTGAAAGATTTTGTTTCCCGGGGCAAATACCTCGATAAATTATGGTGCTGACAGGTTTATTATACATTGTAAATAGAATGCTCTGCCAGGCCCTTATGACAGACATCAGTGACTTCTTCTGACTCCTAACTCATGTCAGCCTGGCACAGTGGTAGGCGCTCTCGTTTCTGAGTTCAGAAGGTTGTCGGTTCAAACGACCCATTCAAAAACCTTCCTCGCCAGTCTCCCCAGCTCCGCTATCCACAAAATCCAGTTGATCCGAAACTCCGCCGCCCTCAGGCTCACCCGCACTAAATTCCGTACTCTCATCGCACCGATTCCAGCCAGACTCCACTGGCTCTCTATCACCGAACAGATCGATTTCAAGATCTTCACGCTCGTCTTCAAATCCCTTCGCACCCTGGCACCTTCCTATCTCTCCCACCTCCTTACCCCCCCTACCCACTACACGCTGTCCATGTTCGACTGGCTCCGATCTGCTACACGGCCCTTGTGCCCTCTGTTCCATCATCAATGGCCGCGCTTTCAGCCACTATGCCCCGAAACT